CTCAGATTGGATGTCAGATGTTGGAGACAGCTGCACTCATCACAGCTTTTATGAATGCATTATCTTTTATGTTCAGCCAAACACTAATTTATCTTCCACAGAAAATTAAACCAGACAGGTATTCACTTACCAGTCCTCTCTGGAAAATTGGGACTTTCAGAAACCGTGCCTCAAGTAAGAAAAATACCTGCAGCCAGAAGAAATACGGCCAATCTTTGGGCTGGGTGGTAATTCAAACCTCTTCTCTGATGGAGTATATATATTTGATATTTGTGCACGTGTGCTGCCCGTTTGCACTACTTTTTATTTTTATACACTGTGATTACTTGTGAAAAATCAAAGTGTGTTATTTGCCTTCACGGAATGCCACAACATCAAAGACTTCCCCCACTCCCAGAAGAACCAAAGAACCTCAAGTTTTTTTTTTTTTTTAGCCCATGCAGCCTCGTCTGTTTTTTTCCATCCCGGCATCGCTCAAAAGGCAAAAGCCTCTAATGATACAAGATACACGATGGAGAGATTGCTGCCAATAAAATGGAGGGGGGGAATGAAGATCAACAACCAAAGAGACACATTTTGGATGATGATTGACATCCCTGCATCTTTTTATTATTCCTGTGATGTTCATCCAGACTCACGGTTGCCAGAAACTGGGGCCTCGCACTTTGGCTGATGCAGCAATCTTTGTGTTATGCATCTTTCTGCCTGCCAACCACCTGGTGTAATCAAGATGCATAATCAAGCTCCCAGTCAATCACTCCTCACACAGCCAATGGTGTGGGATGGGTGTCGGAGGAAGTGAGGGAGACATGGATGTCCGACTCTGACACTTTACACCTCGCTCTCCGGCATCCCGATAAGTCATCTGCATCGACCAGGACCAGGGATCCCTGCAGCCGCCTGCTGCGCATTTTACAGAATTAAGTGCACACTATGTGGAGAAGAACATGAAAGCAAATGTTTTTCAGGTTTTAGTCTCAATCCCACCACTCCAATTTTACATGGCAGAGCACTTAGCAACCTAAATCTCTTTGAATTAAATAATTGATTCAAGCATCTTGCATTTGAAGCTGTGAGGCAGTAACACGGTTTGACAATGGAGACTGTATTTTTTTAAGATGCTTTTGTGGCACAGAAATAAAAGAGCATTCTGATTACCTGAAAGATACCACGAGGACCATTATGGGAGCTGCCTCTTGTCCACAAAAGACACCACAGCCTCTGCTGGTGTCCCAGTTGCTTTCAAGGCACCACTCATCACTCGGGGTTATGTAATTCAGACATGGATGTCCAACATGACGTTTCATGTATATTGCAATGGCTAAAAAGCTGTTCTCTCAGTGACTGCACTCAAGAGTTACTAGATTTTTCATCTTCAATTTAAAAAGAAACTCAAGTACACCATCAGAGGACTCAGGAGAAGAGAAATAATTGACACTCTCACTGCTGAAAAAGTTAATCATGTAAGTTGTTTTTTACTAAGAAAAAATAAAAGCCAAACTGAAAACATGTTTGATGAAAAAAAAATGTGCTGAGTATTTACATTAATACAGTGAACTGATAAGAACTGAAAACATCCTTGTTGTAAAAAATGGCTGCAAGTTCTCTTGTTCTTAGGGTGGTTTATAGATTTGAAATTAAAATATCCAGAAAGGGGGATTAATCATTGTGTCAATTGTTGCAGTATTATTAGCAGGATAATTTGGATATAGTTGTATTTAGTTTTTTTTGTTGGTTTGTTTTTTCTTTTGTCAGTGCGCACTTCTGTTATTGATTGTTGGGATACTTGTAAAATCTATGTGGCTGATTTGTACAGCAAAATTTTTTTTAGTCACACGTTCCAGTGGAATCAGAGCCCTCTCTTAGCTGGAGATAGAAGTGTATCAATGTTCTCTGTTTTTGCAGGATTTAGGTATTGATTGTATTCGTTTGTCTTTCTGTTCCTCATTTCTCTTAATGTAAATGCACATTAGTTTGGAAAATGGAGCAGCTGCTGTATATGCTGAATAGACGGAAACTGAAGTCTCACTACAAGCGAACCTGGCTTCTGGTGAGTTGAACTGAACTTCCTTCATTGCCACTTTTGAAATTCTCTGATGAGGTTGAACATATTCTTATGCATTTTATCATCGTAAAAAACAATGTTATGCAAATGGTTTGTTTTAGGCTTTTAAATGCCTTAGACTAATTTAGAACCCATAGAGATAAATAGAACATGACCAAAAGGATGACATACAGTGGACACTGCATTTTTTAAAAGCAATACAGAGATAATCCATCCGACACAATGGCCCAATAGCAAATTATATTTAGCCATAGAGCAGTACATAATATATAAGCGCATTACTCTGTAATGGCAGCAGTATTGCAGTGTTATGAATTTAAATTAAAAAAAATGTCACCCAGCATCTTCAAACACTGTTTAAATAAACAGTCTTCAAGAACATAATTGATAAGGTTCCCCATGCTGCTGTGACTCTGGATTACTTTGTAGTCTTAAATCATGAATATGTTTAGAATTTTGCATCTGCCTTTTGTGTGTCACCTTCTGCAGAGAGTACTGATCTATCCAAGCAGCAACCAGTGCAAAAGGCAATGCTCGACGTTAAGATCTGGCCCATCATCCGTTTCTATCAAGGCCTAAAATTGGAGACATTGCTGCAGCATTAAGGGATTGAATTTGGCCTCAGGAGACAGTGAAATTGGACTGATCAATACGATTTTATTGCTTTTTTTTTTTTCTAACAATACATCGAGCACAATAAGGCAGCAAATACAACACATGTAAACAAAATCTGCACATTGGATGCTTTATTTTCAGGAGTCCAGACGAGTAGCTAATGTCATAGATTTTGTGTAAAATCTCTATATCAAAAGTAGTTGAAGTCTTCACTGAGGGCTTGAAAATGATGCTCTCTTGGAACAGATACAATTGGCAAATGGTTATTGATTTCAGTGCTAGAGGGGCCTGGCTCCTCTATGGAATGAAGTTGTGCCAGGCTGCAGTGTGTGAGTTTTCTTTAATTACAATCACACATGTACGTTAATTGGAGAGTGTCAGATTTCCCTTTATGACGTCCAGTGGATAACTATTTTCTGGAACAGCATAACACTTTTCTGCTGTTCTGCTGCATGTGATGAGAAGCACGTTTCCAACCCTTCTGAACCAAGGGCAATTTAAAAAAAAAGAAAATGTCATCACCACAAAAGAGGTGAGAAACCAAGAGAGTGGAAATGCAATTCCCAAAACTGATGACTGTTCCAGAAAATTACAAGAATAGAAAGACAAAGAAGGAGCATTAACTCTTAATATGCTCAGCCTTGGGCCAAACTAATAATGCCACGATTGAATCAGCTCTAAATAAATGATGTTGCTGTAGTTTAATAACACATCATCCCCTTCAGTGACAGCATTAGTTTTGATAGGGTTATATATCTTCATCTTCCAACAAGTTCAAACTGAAGGGCATTTGTGAGGAACAAATTCCCACTGAGTGTTACTTTATTTCCCTCACTTATTATTTCTGGGTCCTTTGAGATTTACAGGCAAACACCGAGCACCACCCAGAGGATCTGATTAGTACTGTGGAGATGGTCCCTCAAGCTGTTGCAGTTATAGTAAGTATAAAACAAAAGCTTATTTAAGCCAACAACATTAGATTTAATGACAGAATTTTATTATGTCATTTCTATTGCATTGCTAAATCAATGTCATTACACTCTGCTAGGCTTAGAGAAAAAAGTTTAACACTGTACATTGCAAAATATCACAAATATTGATGAAAAAAATAAGGTATTGAATCATTGTCATGCTTTTATTTAGATAAATAGAATCTCTTAAAACCTCACCGTATCTATATTCTGTTGTCGTGTGATGAGCATTGCATGGGTTCACACAAATTTGAGGAGACACACACAGGTCAGTTTATCGTACAAACTGCATGTGTTGGCTGAAACTTAATAACACCAACACACTGAGGCCACCAGGCACTGAAAATAAAGTTTTTTGATTGTGTAGAGCCAAAAAGCCATTTAAAGTAGTTTGGCAATTTGGTCAGGACATGTACACTCCTCCTAGAATGTGTCACATCATAGACCCTCAGAAAAGTTCCTTAAGTGTTTGTGCCACAGAAAAAACTGTTTTCAATTTTTAGCAAAATGCTAATAATGCTTTCCAGTGCTGAATTTCACAGTGAAAACTGTCATCTCTTTAGCAAATCAGTATTGTGTTTTTTCTACCAGGACTTGTTCAAATCTTCTGGCTATCAACGTGAAAATGAACCCTACCGCTAGACGTAAACTGCAGCAAAGCCTTCCTGCCAGAGTCAAATGGAAGCAAAGCTGCCAGGAAAGATGTGAGACAAATGAACACAATACAGTAAAGCTTCATTTGCAGGTGAGTTGATTTACTTTGAGAAGATGAATGAGCAATACCTATCATTCATACAAAATGTGTATTACTTTGGAAAAATGTGCAAACAAAGCTTCAAAAGGACGCCTTAACATGCTCTCTGATGCAGGCATTTGGAAAAATAAATACTGTTTTGAAATAAATACACATCCAAGAGTAACAATTCTATGTACTCAGAGTGGGCATTAACAAGAAATCTGCTTGCATAGTTAAGTGCATGCATAAGCAATTTATCATGCAACAACTGCCATATTACTTCAAAAGCAGTGACCTCTTCTCCGTCTACGGTCATAAAACGGTCATTGTTGAACTACTCTCAAGCTATAGATGTGCACGAGTTGGGATGTCACACACATAAGATGGACCGGATCAAACACGCCACGGCGGTCTATGTACAGGCTCGGTGTTGGGCGAAGGCATCCCAGCTGTCTCTGAATGTGTCGCTGTCGTGTTGCACGTGAGGTGGCTTTTTTTTTTACATTAACCCTGTCTTCATCTGAGAGGAATGTTTGGACAAGTCTGGCAGTCTGAGGAGGCTTGTCGCCATGAGGAACATGGGCACCGCGGGTAAAAAGGCGGTGTCAGCAGCTGGCGGTGGTGGCGGCACGCGAGGGCCGGGGGGGGGGGGGGGTCACAAGGGTAACTGGCGGGTAAAGCATGGGCATTCAGAGCAACTGAGAAGCACGGGCACCAGGAGTGTAACGGCAATGACACGGGCTGCGTTCCAGCGCCTCTCCTCACCTCGCTATGACACTCGTATTTGGACAAAAGAATTCATCTTAAAGGCTGTTGCAGAGTTACTACATCACAGAGCATATGTAAACAGTAGTTATGTTAAATAGGCTTAATTGTGTTTTGCTTGAAATAACATTTTCAGTGCTTAGTAAATATTAAAATTCAAATAATACAAATTGATCAACACCTGCAGTTATACAATTTAGATTAAATACGTCTTCATGATTATCTGAGGCACTGATGTTTGTTGACATATGGCTCTCGATGCTGACGGAGAGCAGTACATAGTGACTTCTGAAAATGATTTCTTGAGTATCAGCTTCTTAAAATTTTCCAAAAACGTCCTTTGGTGACTGAGCGGTCCATGTTTGATGGATCTCAAACGCTGCTTTCCACCACTGTTTCTGCTCCCAGTCTTGTGCAGTCACTTATTTTCACAACTGACTAAGACGTTCCTCAATGCTACAGACAGAGCAAGGCAATGATGTCATTACGTTTCCATGCTTATTTACAAGACAGTATAATCAATGCAATCCATACAAAGTGCTTTGATCAAATCCATTCCTAAATAGCTATTTAACTATGTGGACAGCACGTGTCCAGTATGGCAGCTGGAATTCAGTGACCACTGAATAGCTACAGGTGTTTTAAAAAATGTCTTTCAGACACTCAGTGATGTTTCATTTAAAAAAAAAAGAAAAAGATAAAACGCCTCAGAGCTGCACTGGAAATATTGTTACGACACACTCAGAGGAACTTCACTTGGATTTCTGGCTTGTTTGTGTGGAGTTGATGGGGATCTTCCTGGACTGTGCTGTCCTTTTAGCGGGCTCTTTCTTTGCCGGCTCCTTTGAGGCCGCTGAAGACTGGCCGGCCGTCTGCGCCCCGGAGAGCTTAGACTTAGTGGACGGCAGCAGTGAATGCTTAGCCGTGGCTGAAGCTTTCTCCTTGTCTTTGGCTGTGCATGCATTAGTCTGGGCCTCAGAAGCCGAGTTCTGGGCTTTTTTGCTGGGTCCACGTTGCACGGCTTCTCTGGCTGCATCCCCAGCACCGTCCTCTGGACTTTTTTTTGCCTCCGCCACACCGGCTTTTCCACTCTCACCTGGCTTGCGGGTCTCCTTGGGCCGCAGAGCTGTTTTAAAGAAGGACAGACCTTTGTCCTCTGTCTTGTTGGTGGCTCGACATCCCCTCGACGGTGGAGCACTGCTAGAGGACGACACTCCTACGCTGGAGGATCGGAGACTGGCCATGGAGGAGCTGCTGCTTGAGCTCCGGCCTGTCGCCGGCCGGCCCTCCGCTCTGGCAGCGGCACTGGCCCTGGAGGGAGGCCCTCCTCCGTGGCTCACTTTCCTGTCTGAGCCCATGCTGGTTTGTGAGGGTTCACAGCTGGTGCTCCTGTCTGCCGCTTTAGTCCTCCCTGAAGCTGAGCTTTTCTCTCCTCCCCGTCTGGGTGACAACCGCCTCTGAGGGTGCGAGCTCTGTAATCCCGAAGAGCCGCTCTTCTTCTGCTGTGAATCGGGGAGTAGAAGGTCTGGGGTTTGGGAGGACCCTTTCTTGGACGGGGTTCCTGTTCTTGAGGAGGCGCTCTTGCTTAGTTTCAGTGCTCCGTCACTTCTCTCCTTGGGGTTTGATGCCGATGCCGCACTCTTGGACTGCGTTCGGGACGGCAACTTGTCAGTGGCTGGAGACGCCGGTGAGAGAGAGCTGGACGATGTCGAGGAGGTATTGGGACGCTTCTTGGGGCTCCTCTCGCCCTCTAGGCCGCTCTTGGCGGAGCTCCTTTTGACGCCGGCATTATCGGCCGCCCCGTTCCTCTGCTTCTCCTTCAGAGCCCCTCCGTGGCGGGGGCTGACCTGTTCGCCGGCCGTCCCCGCGTTGTTGTTTTCACCGGTCTGAGTGGAGCCCCGCTGCTCCGCCTGCGCCGCGGCCTTCGGGTGCGCCTGCTCTACAGCCCTTTTATTCCCTGCATTACTGTCCAGAGTGGAAAGGGCTGACTTGGCTTCTGACGTTCTGCCGGGCTTAGGTGAGCCAGTGAAGCATGGGGATGACAGCGGGTTATCAACCACCTCTCCGATCCTCTCCAGAGTTGGGGAGCAGGAGTGGGACTCGAGGGAGAAGCGAGATGGAGAGTTGGAGCGGAGTTGGAGCTTAGCAGAGTGAGTCCAGGAGGGTTTAGTGCCATTTTCACTCAGCACAAGTGGGCTGGCAATAGAGGATCTTGAAGAGAACGTCTGCCTTTGCATGCCTCTCACCGCTGGTCGCGTGGACAGACCTGGATGACAGTACAATGTGCATCACTGTTCAAATGATTTACGAAAGGATTATGTTAGCCTCAACAAAAAAGCCTGTGTTTTTGTGTGAGTGTTCTTCACCATCGTCCTCGCTTCGTTCACCGGCAAACTCAGCCGACTCCGACAGGGACGCCAGTGACGTGCGTCTGGAGGAGCCAGATGAAGCCTGGCTGGGCGGACGGCTTCCCATCAGCCGACTTATCCAGTGCTCACACAGAGAAGAGCTGGTGGAGCCTAAGCAAGGACCAATTGTTCTGAATTCAGCATGATCATGCTTTAGATTTTATAAATAATCTATCTAAAAATGAATAAGAATAAATCAAATACAGAAAAAGATTCATTTCTGATTGTACTATTTCTATTTCAACAACTTTGAAATAAGGGTTCCTTTAAGATACGATGCTACAGTCTAAAAACTCCATATAGTGTTTCATGACTAATTTTTTGTATATGCATATTGATTTAGATCCTTCCAGATATGCAAACAGTCTTAATCATAAAAGTTCATAACAGTAATGAGGATAAAAGACACTTCAGTGTAAGCTGTCAGTTAGGGATGTTTATGGTGATTTCTATTAGAAGAAAAAATTACACTAAATGTATTTCAAATAAAAATTGTATACATTTATATATTTAACAGGTTTTACTTGAAGTTACATTCTATCGCAAAAAATAACTGCACACTAAATCTCATAGGAGATTTTTCCCTTGTTTGTTTTGTAAGCTTTGATATCGCATCCTTATTATTGTGCTGTTTGTCGGTGAAACTCTTACAAAAAAAGTGTCCTTGAGAGATCAAATGCGAACTACAAAGACAAACAGCAGAATATATTTCCAACTTTTTAAACAAACCTCAGCTTACAATGTTTTGAATATATTGAGAGCCCATATATGACAACTCCAAATGAAATGTAACAAAATTCTCTGAAGCCTTGTAGTGTTTCTTGAAGCAGTATGATGTGGCTAAATTCTATTAAACTGGTTGAATAGGAACTGGTTGTTCCCATTCACATTCTGTGACCTGGTTAAAAGTCTGTATTATATCCAATACAAGATAGTGACATAAGATCAATCATAAATTGGTAAGAGACTGTACAAGCTAAGATAATAAAAATTACCTCCCACAGAACTGTTGGCAGACCAAGAGGGGATTGTTGCACGTCTTTGATAAAACAAGATGTACGCGGTCTGCTTGCAAACCTCATCTTCAGATAAGGGATGGACGTCGCTGTCGTCAAAGCAATACCACTGCCCATCAATGGAGTTCTTACAATAGGCTGAAGAGCACAAGGTGAAAAAACAAAATCTATATATCATTAACATCAATAAACTAAAGATAAAATCGGTTCAAACATACTGAGTGGATGGACTGGCTGCTTTACAAGCTGTTACCTGTGTAATGTCCTCCCTGCATGGTCCCATGATGATTACAGACTGCATACAGGTCATAGAGGTAGTCCTCCGGATCACGGCCCATCCCGTAAGGCCTTCTCCAGGGAGACCAGTGAGAGGGGAGACTCCAGCTGCTCTGGCTCCTCTTCACCATGTGGGGTGCCATGTCCATGCCTGTGAGCGGGAACTTTACCATGTTCTGCATCTTCATCCGTCGATCCCCGTCCTGTTGAAAGAATGTACTTACAGTGTTTCATTAAAGCAGGTACAACAAAGTAAAAAAAAAATCTATAAATGATCTCCTTATGTAATTGACACCAATACCTGTCTAAAGCGCTTCAGGTGAAGTATGAGGATGTCTGGCAGGGTCCACAGACTGAGTTTGATGCTGCCCTGCTGAAGCTGCTTACAGTGTGGGCATCTCCAGGCGTCGTCTGGGGCAAGCTGCAATATGCACATGCATTCAGACATGCTATTGGTGTCAAAAATATTTAAAATGAGGCTACTTTTTAAGTATATCTGCAAATAGATCACAGCATCGTGGCATGACATTTAAAATATACGTTTAAAATATAGTTTCTACACAGGCCATGTTAGGATGTTTCTGCAGAATGCTCTTGTCTGTTCTCATTAGGTAAGCCTGGCATTGTGGCTTTTCCTGAAGACTCCACCTCCCCAGCTTCGACCTACCTGCTCCTCTTTAGTGTAGAGTTGAAAGCACTGTGAAAGTGAACAGGTCTGAGGCTGCAGATGCTGCTCCTTTGCTTGACGCACACTTTCAGCATCCGGAATGTATTCGTCCTCGGTTCTTTTGAACAGACTGTGGGTGTAACATGGCACAAGTCACAGAGGGATAAGGCCCTAGAACTGACAGAAGGTGTCGCACCTCAAACATCTGTCTTCAGCTTAATGAGACTGTGTCTGGGTCTCTCACTTACTAGTCTTTCGTTTCCTTGTCCCATTCAACAACTATTTTGACATGAGGGGGCCCTCCTGGACCACAGGACTTAAAAGCCCTGTTAGAAATGACAACAAAAAAATCACATACTTTAAATGATGCAAAGAGGAAGAATTGGGTTTATGATTTTAGATCACACTGAATCTCTTTGAATTTCTTTTACAACTCAGTTGTAGGAGTATTTATTTATGAAAATTAGGTTCTTCATAAAATATTTACCCTTAATATATGTTTGAGCAGATTCAGATGACGCACTACTTCTATTTAAAGGCTAGATGAGGCACAAGGTTGAATATAACATTTGACAGAATATAAAGACTTAAAGTTAATATCAGTGTGAAATAAGTTTTTAGGAGTTTCATGTTTATTCAAATGGCAACACGAGTTACTCTGTCTTTTAGTGTATTTTTCCATATTTTCTTAATAAAAATTTTGTCCCAATGGCAACAAACATCAAAAGTTTTGAGGAAAATCTATAAAACAGAGAAATTAAGGCACAGATTCAAAGATATTCTAACATCAGCAACCCTGAAAGCTCTAACTTGAAATTCACTGTGGGATTTTAAAAAACAAAACAATCCACATGCAGTAGCACTGCCTTCTGGTGGTAAATTGGGGCATTACCTCTCAACCGAGGGATGGCAGAGTGGCTGCTCCTCCTGGGGCAACAGATATGTGATTCCAACCACTCCAACAACACGTAATGTGAAGGGCCCTACCTGCACAAGGAGGAAACATTATCACATGTGACAAGCAGGCTCAAGCAGAAGCATCATAAAACATTATGGTTGGGAGATCGTGTTAAAATGATGGATGCACCTGCACGAAGACTCCGGGACGCAAAAGATGCCTCATCTTCTCTAAAATCTCTTTCTGCAGCACATCCCACGTCACTGTACGCTCCAAATACAGAATAAAGGGATTCCCAAATCTGCAGAAATACATATTCATATATATATATATATATGTGTGTGTTTATTTTCTTTTTCATTTGGATGATTATGGCATAGCATTCTAAAACACTGTTTTCCGGGAATCTACCTGCGTCCCTGCTGCCCTGCACAGGCTCTGTTGCACACCAACAGAACAATCTTCTCAGCCTGCCCGCTGTTCTTATTGGGACTCTGAGGCGGCGTCGTCGGCTCTTGTATTTGCGTGGATGTTCTATTGTCTGTTCCGTACTTCAAGTTGTTTTGATTAAGATTTGCATGTGGGCTCCCTGAAATGAGAAATTGTAGCTTGAAAATCATGTAATGAAAAATCATCCATTGGCTCCAATTGTATTCTATCACCGATCAAGACTCAACACCTTCCGCTACAGCGAGACAAAGAGCTAATCTAATTTCGTGGAATAAAAGCGATGCTGTATACCGCCTCGCTTGGACCGGATCTGTTCTGGTCTGAAAAGCTCGGGTGTCTCAAATGCAAAGATTGAGTCGCTCTCCTGAATGATCTCAAGGTCGTCATCGTCGTCACAGAAGGAGCGATGAAAGCCATCGAAGTACATTTCAGTAAGGACAATCTGCACAGACACACAGACCAAAAAAAAAAATGTGTGGGCTGCTTTTGCTCAACAATATCCTTGCACAAAGTACGACAGCTGGTATCTGCTGTGGTGGAGGAGAAGGAAGCATCAGCATTGCAGTGGAAACCATAGAATATCCAATTATATCACCAAGCCCTACATGTGAAAATCACATTCAAATCAACTTTTCTAAGTTTTCTATTGGTGACAACATAACATTCAAACATTCGTGAATGACGCTCTACCTGTTCTGCAGGGATTTTGGTCTCTTGGGCCACAGCTTGTCTCAGCCTGGACACGGTTCCGGAGAGAGGCACGGCCACCCCGACTCTCATACAGTGGGAGCACTTGCCTTGGTACACCACTGTCACATACAGAGGCCTGCAAAACACAGACTGAAACTAATTGGCTGTTTCATAACCACAGCTGGACTGATATTTCAAATATAGACGGCATCTTCTAATTTTAGATTTCTCCTGTCAAGTCTTTGCTGAGTTTGACACTCTTTAATGCTGCATTCAGACCGAATCTCGATCACGTTGCCTTATTGGATGTGAGGACTGTTTTTTAGGGGGGGCGGTGCTGGTTGCTATTGTCTTACTCACGTAGCTATTTACAGAGGGCCCTTACCGTGTGTGAGGTACTGGGATTGGCAGTGAGATGCAAAGGAAAGGATCAAAGGTGTTACTCTGTTTCTGGCAGTGAGGGCAAGTCAGGGAAGACCTTAACAGAGACAGGAAGACAATCACACCGTTTATGCACAGTCACAAATCCCTTAGATCATATAGGGTTATTTGTGCCTTTGTATGCCCCATTTTTTCCTTTCAATCTCACTTGTTTAGCTCTGCAAAGTTACTGGGTGTTACTTTTTCAAAAGAATTGCAAAACCACCTAAATAATTAAATAAACAAGACCCTTTATCAAATATGAATTTCCAGATTTCACCTGTATTGTGCCTGAAACAGCTCCTGAACAAAAGAGCCAGGTGCTGGTAGTGGAGATCCTTCTGGTACTGCTTCTTCCTCTACTGGAGGCTGGAAAAATAAAAAATAAATTCATACAATAAGTTATATCTGGTTATTAACCTTTAAATATGTGGAATATTTAGGAGCCTCAGTTATAGCCTTATCGACAGTTTGCAGTATGATTACATATTTCTTATATCCCAGTATACAATCAAAACTTTGAACATTTAATTAATAATTAGTACATTGCTTTGCAGCTCAAAACAGAGTGTTATTTGTCTTACATCTGGTTAACATGTGGTTTACCTTCCTGGGGGGTCTGCTCTCTGGGTGGATGATTTGGTTGAGGTCTTCGTGAACTCTGTCGAGTAACCAGAGGAGGAATTCCTGGGCATCGTGTTGGGAGTTTCCTTTAAACTGAAGGGCGCTCCTCGACACCACATTCTGCAGCAAGCAACAGACATATAAACAGTTCTTTAAGTTGGAATAAAAAATCACAGATATGGATTTGTGCGGTGGAAGCCACTTCTGTCCTTTGACATTGGCTGGCCATAAAATATTCAGGAGGATACCCGGCGTAATCTTAAAGGTCACAGGAGCTTAAGTGCACCACTCGGACTTTGAAAGCAAGGACATGAGCTGAAGCTTCACTGTAAACAATGAGATGTTGGGGATGACAACTGTGTGTACTCTACAAAGACACCCAGGCTGGCAGCTGTGAAGTCACCTTTACTCACGCAGGCTATCAAATGTCAAAGCTATGAGGGGACTGTGTGCCCTCACAACATCTCCTTTGGGACAGTCCTCATATTCAAGGTATTGCAAGGACAGCTTCAGCTCAGAGCCAGCCTTGATTCTGTGGATCCACCACAAACCTGTGTGGATGAAGCCAGTTTGAAAAAATAATAAAGTATATTTTTAAATGGCTATGCCTCAGCGATAGATGACTCTTTAAAAAGACAAAATAGTGAAATGAGGACCATGAGCTCTTTTAGATGGTCATACTGCATACTATGCACAGTTAGATTAAAAAGTAGACACAGGAAAGAAAAGGATCGGGGCAAATGTGTTCATGTGGTGACTAATTCAATCTGAACAGTTGTCATCAATCAGTCAGGGTTCTCCATCAATCTAGCTCTAGACTTCCCTGAAATTGAGAGGCAGAAACAGAGGTTGCTACATCCTCTCTTTTATATCAAGTTCTAAAAGCAGCACATCCAGCAGTTCTCATAATGAAAGTTGACGGCATCAATTGTAAGTCGTCCCCTATCAAATATCATCCATCACCTGTCAGACAACATAATTCCAGTTTGCATTGCAATATTTCAAGGTTCATCTTAATATAACTACTGAGATATTAATTGGGTCAACATCTCATGCAAAAAAGGGCTGTGGTCAAAGCTATAAAAAGAAGAAAAATAACTGCTTTTATGGTCTGGGTGGAATCTTATAAAAAAAAAGGGGGGAAAATGCTCATATATGAAAACTGATACAGACTGAGAGATATGAAATGGTATCTTGGTTTAACTTTAAGTGCACTAACACTTTAAACACCACCTATCCAGTCCTCAGTTTCAATCTGTGATCACTTTACATTGTGTATAAAGGCAGAACTGCTCGAGGAGTTGAGGAGGAAGAATTGATTTTGCATCTGGAACTTAGCATTTCTGATCCAAATGTTGAGATATCCTCAACAAATATACAAAGGGCCCTATTAATCTTGACAGAGGCGGATTATGAAAGCACAAAGAAGATGAACAGCTACAACCACCATTTGGGTTGGGTTCACCATCAGCCACACTGTAATGATTATCTCTGATCATCTGTGAAAGGTTTTAAGAATGGTTTTCGTTGGGTAGTTTGTATCCTGTATCATTTAACCCTAAAGAAACTTCCTGTTTGTGGGAGAGAGCAGATCTCGTCTTGTTATCACAGATGATGATGATCTTTAAGTGCTCCCTGTTCAGAAGACACACAGAAACATAATGTACATATGCTTGAAATGTTGTGAGCGCTGACCACAGAAATCTTCTGCTTTCTCTTAAAGTCATTTAGTGGCTTTTAAGGCAATTATAAGTAGAGAACAACATGAAAAAAACATCCATAGACACACTCTGAGTACCAGAGTGCTTACATGTGCTGAAATACTGTAGACTTACAGCAAAGAATGGGAAATCAAGTTGAATATTCTTGAGGAACAATGTTCATTATCAATATCTCTATCCTTTGGCTCTCCCTCTTATGAGAATAACCCCCACCTAATACTAATATTTGTACTTAGGCTGGCAACCAAGGTACAAAAAAAGAAAGAAATGGTAATCTTGTCAAGAATAAAGTGTGTGCTAAATGCTCGTGTTGAATTTACCTTCCCTACATTTTCTATTTTTGTTCTTACAAAATAGACTGAGAGACGAGGAACAAAGGCCCAGAAATAACGTTTTGTTTCGGGAGAGCCTTTGTTTTTCTGACTGACAAAGTTTTCACTGTTGGGTGGCAGGTTTAAGGTGAAATGATGCATAAGTGAACAAGGATGGAACAAAAACTGATGAGTGTGGGACAGAGAATGAGGCCTTGGAAAGCTGAATGAGCAACTCCAGGACCCTGCTGGCACCTGACCATTCACTTTGTTTCAGGTTCATGCTTCTCCATAGTGGCTGTTTTTAGTTTAATCGGAGTATTACACAAACTGAAATCTTGAATGTTTCATCCAGAAGAACAGGAAGGACTACAGGCCTTTTGAGAAGACTAATCTGGTCATCCGGGGCCCACAGAAGGCCTGACAATTGCATCTGACCCTGCCTGAAGTCATTCTGAGAAGTAGCCCAACTTCTATCCTGTCAGAACACATTAAAATTCCTCTGCTGTAACTTACAAAGATAGTTTGAACTTTGAGTCATAACTTTAAAAGAAACTCGAAATTTGCATGGAGGTTTACAAATGGATGAATTAAGATCATTTGTGTTTGGCAACCGAACTCTCCGGAGGCATGTTCCCTCCTCGGGCCACCCGCAGGAGGCTCGGCCTACCTTGAAGTCCCTGCTGTGTTGAGGCGTGTACTCGAAGGTCCACAGAGCCCGGACCAGGCCGGACAGCTGCTCGGTCACCTCGCCGGCCTCCTGCGGCTGGCCGCCCGCCCTCCTCAGCACCAGCACCCCGTTGGGCTTCGCCTTCTCGCTGTTGCTGCTCGTCTCCGCTCCCCGGAACTGCTCCAGAGCCAGGTACTCGGCGAACAGCTCCGTGTTGCTCAGGCACTGGAGGATAGCGTTCATGAAGCAGGTGTTGCCGTGGTTCTTCAGCCCGGCGACTCCCGGCACCTTGTCCCCGAAAGGGAACCCCCCGCAGTCGCTGTCGTCGGACGGGACCGACCCCCCCGCGGTGCTCGGGACCAGAGTGGGGTCGTCCTTCTCGTCTTCCGCCGTCTGCTCGTCGGTTCCGAAATGAGACAGAGTCGATAGGGTCCGCAGGACTCTGTTCATAAAGCTCCCCACGGAGCGAACCGAGCTCCTCCGGAACAGCTTTTTGCTGAAGGATTTCTTCTCCTTGTTGCTCACAACTTTCGACATGATGGCTCTCCTCGTTGTTGTTGTTCCACCTGAATTCCAGGAACGGCCCTCTTCCCCCCCCCCACCCTTCCTCCTTTCTCAGAGCATCCCCTCACTCCCGTGTGGTGGCACCTCCATCACTTAGTTTACCACAAGGCCCGGACATATTTCACAGAAACAAAAAAAAAAGGCCGGGCAGTTCTGGGAATCATACCAAACGAAGACAGGAGAGCAGGAACGAAATCAGCCCACTTGCAACACTGCGTCGAATTGCATAAACAGCTTCCGCGGAGAGCGGCTGTCAGGGCGGGTGTGTGGACTGGTCCCCGGGCAGCCAGCTGCCTCCATCATCTCCGGCCACGCTCCGGTGACAGAACACCCCCCCTCGGTGGCCGCTCAGATGCTGGTCGAGCCTCAGCGTTCTTCGGACGTAAACATCGAATTAACCTCTCACATTTGGGGCTGAGAGTGAAGAAACGGGATTCCTCATCATTTATTAAAGAAAACCGCAGCTCCACCCCGTTAAAGACGACGTCCCCCCCCCCCGGGACAGTCCAAAATTTTTCGCCGTGTCGGCTCGGAGACGTTTCCCCGGCGTCCTGGCTCCTCAAAGCGGCTGCGCGGCGGGCGGCCCGCCGGCAGGAGCTGCGCCCCACCGAGGAAGCCCCCGACCGGGGAGACTCAGCCCGCCGCTCCCTCCCGCTCGGCTGCTGGGGGGCATGGCTCCCCGGGCCAGAATGGTGTCCGAGTGTTCATTCGAAAGTTCAGTTGTTGTTTTGTTTTTTTTTAGAGTGTTTTTTGTTTTTTTTTCTGCCCCGCAACACTTGCGCCAGCTGTGGTGCTCCTTATTTCCGCCTTCGGATGCGCTTCATGGCGAGGCCGCCTCTCTGGTCTCCATCGTCAGCTGCGGACGCCGATGCTGCAGGCAGAGGGAGGCAGGCAGGGAGGGAGGGAGGGAGGGAGGGAGGGAGGCAGGCAGGCAGGGCGGGGACGGCTGACGTCAGGCCCGGACGCTGCTGCTCCATGTCGGAGGGGAGAGCAGGTACCGCGGCGCGTGACGCCGGCTGATGCTCCCCCCCCGCGCGCCTCTGGACAGAATGTACACATACCGACAGCCAATCGGGTCGAAGCGGTCTCATATCAACCCCCCCGTAAATAAGAGGCGGGGGGGTGAAAAATGAGTTTTAGGTATATGGTAAAAGTGGTTCCGTGTTCATGGTGCTATAAGGACTTTTGCTTCGTGGTGGAATTTCATTGCCAGTCCATGCAGAGGGAATCTATTGATCAAGGGGAAATTACAGAGCATGACCACGTGGGCAGCAACACATTCTAATTCCCCTCAAATCAGTGATGTAAGACGAGGCCCAGACTGTGGAGCACTATCAGTTACTTTGCTAACCATCTGCTTCATTAAGACATTAACGTTTTTCTAATTCCATCACAATCAACAACATTGTTTAAGGAAACATCCATAGTGATGGAATGGACAAATGAAAAACATATGAATACCTATTCAAAAACTATCAAATTTATAAAGCAAAAATGTTTAAAAAATCTTTGAGGACAGGGATAAAAATGTTTTCTTTTAAAACAGAGATGTTATAGATCAGACCATTACACAATATATGCCTCATGGCAGAAATGGGTCATGGATAACTTTAAAGGTAAATATAGGAGGGTATATGACTTTAAAGGGGCCAATAGTTTCACACTTCTATTTCTCCAACATCGAGACAGAGTTCCCCACACATGAGTTTTTCTAAAAGGTTGCATGTTCAACAAAATAGAAGAACTTTAGTGTGTAAAAAAAAGTTTTAATGTTTTCAGAAAATCCTTCTGATACTGCATGAAAAATACAAAAAAATCTACCAGATTACTCACCCAGTAGAACAAATAAGAACACCCCCCCACCCAAACCTTTACTTTAAGGGTTATCTGAAAGTGAGATTTAATGAAGAAACAATCCAGCTCAAACCACAAATATTACCTCTGAATAATTTAACAGCCCAGATCAGTTATATTCCAGTGATAGATTGAAAACACAGGGTTTAAATGCCTTGAAATTTCACCAGCCCCTCAAGATCTTACGCATAAATAAAAAAGGATTATTAGGCTGAATTTACTTTTTCCCTTGCCTGGTGAGATATCACTTGAGTAAAAATGAGATTAACATTATCAGGGAAAAAGACAGGGACACCCGACATTAATGTCTACACATTCCCACGCCCACACGTTTAGCTTCCCAACGGAAATGCTTTAGCAAGACAGAGCCCTCGGTGAAAATCGCAAGTAACATGTAAACCAGCAGATATAAATGTCACATTCTTCTGATTCCTTACAGAATAAGAAGTCTCAAGTCCTGCTGGGGGATGATGGCTCCCGCGGAGGCCTGCTCTGACTCCGCTGGTGTCAGTAGTCGATGCCCCGCAGCGCAGCGATGGTGGACGCTATCCGGCGAGGCAGCAGCTTGGCCGTCTGTCTGTAGTCGTCCGGCTTAGCCCTCAGCAGCGTGACGATGTGCTGCAGGCTGCGGGAGGGCTGCAGGCCCAGGGCGTCCATCACGTTGCTCAAATAGTCTGCAGAGCAAAAAACAGGACTCAGAACACCGGTGACTTCGTTTCTTGGCCAGTTTTGACCACGGCATCCGTTCAGTGCAGCCTTCTGTTAGCTTTACCAATATCTGTGGCCAGCTGTTTGGTGGAATGTGGGCTCAGTTGGGGAATACGCAAAATGGCATCGCAGTAGGTCTGCATGGTTGCACGAGCAATGGAGCCCAGCCAGTAATCTGCAGTGTTGTCCAGCTCAGGAAGATCGTCACCTGAGACAAAAGACAAGGTGCCCCTGGTCAGAGGTGCAAAGGCCTTTTTTTTTTAGAAATATTAGGACCGATCTGTTTGCAACCTTGTTCTGGTGGGAAAGGCAGCTTCCCGGCATGCAAGGCCATTTCCAGCGCCGGGTCCTCCTGCGTCACAAAAGGCTCCAGATGAAGAGGCAAAGACATCAGGTACTGCCCTATCTGCACAGGGACAAGCAAAGGCATGCCGTTAATACGCCTGGAATCAGAGCTCTGCATGATCACCACCACTGAAAGCAGTTTTATTCCTGTTTGTTTGTCACCTTTTTAGTTTTAACTCTAAAACTAAGTCTTTTTTTTTTTTTGGTCACCAAAACAATGTGAAATGTTTAAAAGAAGTCTCTGCTAACATTTGTGATGTACTCTTGTGGTGACAGGCTGAATGTGGGTAGGTCTTCGGTGTAGCCCTCTCCAATGCCAGCCGCCTCTTGACTCTTAACAACAAAAAAAGGGGCACAGATCCAACAGCGTGAGCTCAGAATTAAGACATATACCAGACATCCAGCACTCAGAGGCCCGTTCACAAAGTCAATCTCCCAGCACTCGTGCACTCAAATCGCAGCCATCAGCATTTTAAATCAAATCATCGAGAAACTTGACACGCAATCACCTCCATCTTGGAGACAAGACAGAGCTGGTGTTTGATCTGCAGGAAGACAGAGTCGAAGGCCAGCTGGTTGGCTTGCTGATTGAGTCTGGTCAGGGCCGTTCGGGGCTCAGCTAACAGGCTGGAGTTGCCTGTGCCCTTCTCCTGCGAGGCAGTGGGAGGTAGATGCATAAGAACAACAACAGCAGAGAGCCTTTGGTGCACCGAAACACCAAGCTCCGCGTGGTACCTTTAACGAGTAGAGCAGCTCCATCAGGTTGTTGTACTCGGCCACGTTTCCCCTCTGGAGGTAGTTGTAGTCCTGCCAGGGGTTTTTCGCGCCGCTCTTCCTCTCCGTGGAGCTGGCTTCCTGGATGCCCGCCAGGCTGCGTGGGCTGTAGGACTCCGATAAGTACTTCCCCGCTGTTCCCAAAATCCTGCAGGACAGATCGATCGTTTCAGTTGAAAAAAAAAAAAGAAAGAACTTTTTTTTTTTAAACATCCAACGTAAAAATTTTTCTCACTTGTTTGACAGCTGCTGCTCAAAGGCTCCGCACTGCCTGAGCAGCTCCCCACACGTGGCAATGATCCTGCAGAGGCAGGTACAAAACCAGTGAGTACACAATCCCATGTCCTGTGCTTTTAAACGAAAAAGAGCAAAAAGCAGTAACCTGACTGAGTTCTGGAAGGCCGTCCAGTCCTCCTGGAAAACAGCTTGACTTGGCATATCCTCAAGTTTGCACTTCTTCCTTATTGACTGTAGTGTTGTAGAGAAGTCTGACACATACCTGCGTGGAGAAAGTTATTAGTGCCGGAGGCAACAATCAATACATTTCAAATAATCAAATCAATCAAATGATTTATGCGCTAAAACCATACTATTCATAACTGTGATTATAATGAAAGTATTTTTACTTAGTGAAGAGAGCTCTGAGAGCCTTGAGGAGTCCACACACTCCGAGCCCGTCCGTCAGCCTGACACAGTGCTCCATAGCAGCACCGGCCAGACCGAACAACTTGCCCACAGAGTGGCTCAGCTCTTCTACACAATCGATGACCTCGCCGTGCTCCTAAAAGGACGACAGATTACGGAGAGCGGAACAAGAGGCCAGATCAAGAAATACTCGGAATGAGGCGTCATCAGTCACATGCATCAATAAGAGGTGCGAGTGCGGCCTCTGACCAAAGGAATGGCGCTGATCTGAATGAGTAGGTGGGCTTCCTCCAGGTCTCCGTACTGTAGCTGATAAGATTTGTAGGGATCGTACAGCGCGCACACCAGCTCATTCACCTTAAGGAGGTTATTATCACCTTGGGGAGCAAATAGAGGCAAAAAAATGAGGATCTAATTTCTCGCGCTCTCGTCTGGTCCACGGTCAGAACTTGTGCGTTTACAGACCCAGGTGTGGAAGCATGGCGGCCTCCAGGCTGTGTCCAAAGGTGGATGCGGTGTGGTGAAGCTCAAGCAGAGTGTCCAGGCGCTGCTCCTGGACTGCCCGCTCCATGACTGTGCCCAGGCACACGGGAATGGAGGGCACCATGGCCCCCAAGGTCTGGATCAGCAGCACTGTCACCACCTCATAGGGGTTCTTAAACACCTGTGGCCGGTGGACATCGCGGGTCAGCATCGAGTGACAGGTCAGCCCCTGGACTTCGTTCTGCAGCGCGTCCTTACCTGGCTGCTCCACTGCAGCTGGGCGTGCCAAGCAGACAGTAAGGTGTCATAGAATTCTGACAGCTGCTGGTTGAGACTGAGCTCGCTCTGAGAGAGATCCTGCCAGATGCTCACCAACTGGCCCTAGAGAAACCACAAAGACATCAACCTCGTGCCTAAATATGTGTGCATAGGATTTTCTTATAGTGTTTTGTTATCAATATTATGGCAGACTCCATCACTTACTTTGTGACACTTGTAGTAGTAGGCAAGAAGCTGGGGCATTCTGTCTATCTCTGTGAAGACTTTTACAAAGAGCTTGGCTTGGTCTGCAAAGGCAAAACATTTGCACAGGGAGAGTAAATTACATCAAACACATAAAGAAGAATGAATTGTGATACAAAGGTTTTTTTACCTATAGACATGGAGTTAAAGGTTGACACTATCTGAGGACTGGCCATGGCTTCCAGCCTGTTTTTCAGAGCCTCGAGGTGGACGCACTTTTCAGAATAGTCTGGCGTGTCGACCAGCATGGCCAAGCTGTTCTGCATGCTGGTCAGTTTGGAAGAAATCACAGCAAGATCCTGGAGGAAAAAAAAAGTTAAACATTTTGCTTTTCCTTTAAAGCATCTCAATACAGAAACGGTTACAAATAAATACATTTTTAAAAAGGAAAACTTGTTTGATCCAGCTTTTCCTGACTAGAGTTTAAGTTATTTCTTAAGAAAGAATTTACATATAGTTTGGGAGAGAGTTTCGCTGATTGGAACACAAACAAAACTGAATGAATAAATACGAGATGTATTGTGGCCATTTCCTCCTTTTCTACCTGTGTTTTGAAGGTCTCTTCAATGTCTGCGCTCAGGGTGCTCCACTTGTCTGCCTCCTGCAGAGCCTCTGCTGCCAGCTGCATTCGACTCTTCACCTCATCTATTTCCACCAAGACCTGAAGGATATGATTCACGTTATCACACTTACACTTCCATACCAGTTACAGTCAAACATGGTTTTCAACAGCGTATCATCGCTGTAGGCTCATGCCATCGTTTCTCCAAGCAAAGCTCACACACCTGCATGGACTGCACGGTGTCCTGTTCAAACTTCTTGATGTCCTCCTTCACCAGGACCATTTGCTCCTTTAGAAAAGAGGCCTCCTGCTTCAGGGCCTCCACGTCTCGCAGCACTCGGGGCATATTTTGAAGGGCCTGATTGCTGCTTTCTACAAATACACATATGGCTATTGATCACTCATAATACTTTTCACCAGCTGTGTGGGTTTGTTAAATGGAAAAAAGATAGTGAACATAGAATCATCTCTGTAAAAAAAAAAGTGATGTACATGCCAAACTGTAACCTAATTTGTGCAGCAAGTGATGAAAATTAATATTGAAATCAATATATTATGTCTTTGTAACATGTTTGTTGAACCTTATAAGAGCTGAGGAGAACTGCACAAGGGCATCTGGATCCACTCATACAGTATACTGACTTTTTTCAAAGGTAGCTAGGATAAGCTACCAGATGAAGTGGCAGTTTTCACAACCAAATATATTACAGAGACATATGAGTATATTAATGAGGTAAGTTTGTCTAAAAATGCAGACCTTCGATGGCATTGTTGACTTCCTGAATGAACAGCTGCAGCTTCATGACCAGTGTTGCTGCGTGGCTGTCCGCCTTCCCCGGAGCGTCCTTCTGCACCACTTTGAAGGCGCCATTCACCCAGTCCTTCACGTCGAAGTCATCATCCAGGAATTTAGAAAAATCCATCCTGCTGCTTCAGCGGTTCAACAAGTTGAATGATGTTCGCTTCAACTCTCGAGCCTCGGTCGGTGTCATCGAACCATTGGTAACATCAGATTAGCTAAGTTTTCCCTAACAACGGTTTCGACACAAATATAAAATAAATCGCCCAGGAGAATGAAATTATCATGACAACTAAATATAGCTCCAGCAATGCGACGGCCTCCTCCAGATTTACTCTTTAAGTTTACGACCTCAAACTGAGAAAGGTGGATACATATTCCTGAATGTTTAAAGCTAGCTGAACTCCAATAGATGACAACACCTTCCTCTTGTGCTTTACATTTACATTCCCCATAAACAAACGCTCACAGCGGACCCTTTTATTGTGTGTGTTTTTTTTAAAACAAAATTTAAATGAAAATAATCGACGATAGGGCAATCAAAAATTATGTTTTATATGGTGAAATTCATTATTGCTGTTTAATTTCAATTTAATGCTTCTTAACGAGAAAAACTATAACCCTGGAGTTGTGTTACACAAACTTTGGTCCGGGCAGAAACATATCAAAGGGAGGAACTACACGTCACTCTTGACTACTTTACCTTCAAATGAATAATCATTTAATCTTTTATTTGACACATATCATACCCCAAACACATTAAATTGTAAGATTAACAGTATTTTAGTGCTTAAATGAAAGTGTAAACATTGGCTCTGAAATGCCATGCTGGTGCCCAATGTCTTCAGGGTTCTGTGGCACATCTGAAGATAGGTCCCTACTGTTGTGTGACATATAGTACTCAAGTAGAGTAGATATAAATATGAATATAAATATCATTCAATATGTTTTTTTTATTGTATAATTCACCTTCTGCAGGCTCAGAATTAGAGGCATGATAATTGCAGTTGTAATTGATTGTATTTACCATTAAGACAACATATTTTATCTATAGAAATTCCAACAATTCATCACCATTGCACTCATGAAATTAGTGGTTTCACATATTGAGGTTATAAGCAAAGAGAATGTAATTTCTGTCCCTCTGCTGCAACAGAATTTTATCACCACGCATTGTCTTCTTCATGAATATTATGCAAACTATGAAAACTGTAAAAGGCTACGTGGAAACTGAAGCTGAAAAAAGCTGCAGAGGATACTTATCTAAGACAACCAGTAGACCAGGAGCGCAGTTATTTCTCTTGCTGGACGACTCTTTAAAAAAGATGGGACTTATTGATGATATTAAGGACACGCTTTCTAAAGCAGTGTTCACACCATCTGCTCTGCTGAATGGACGAGGGGGGCTCCACATGGCGCAGATACTTCTGTCCGTGGTCACGTTTGTCCTGGCTTTATTCAGAGGAGGGAGCAGCCATACCTACTGGATCTATGCGATGTTCACTTGGGCATTCTGCCCCATAATGACCCTCATCATCACTATAATTGAGATGTTTAAGCTTGACATCGTCCTCAACTTGTTTTGCATGGACTGGTCTGACTTCACCACAGGGATGGCCATGTCTTCTTCACTCATGACCGTCTCCGTGGCTATTACCTACGCTAACTTCTACGCCTGTCTGAAATGCCTGTATGGCTGGATAGTGAGTATATTTGCCATCTTGTGTGCATTTCTCTACGTCCTCGAAGTGGTGAAAGACAAAATCATCGACAAGAAGAAGGGAAGCTACCTCTCTGCTCTGCCAGGATTCTGGAAGGTTCTGGAGGCCTTTGTGAGCTGCATGATCTTCATATCCCTGACTGGTTACAGAGACAAGCCTTCTCTGATCGTTTGTGTCATAGCGTATATCATTCCTTTTCCTATCCTTCCTCTGATCATAGCCACAAACATCCTCAAGAAACTTAAGAATTGCCTGCCCTTCAACCTGGATAGGTTTGTGTTTATTTTCTTGGTGATCTCTGTTTTGTTGTACATATTCACTGCAATTATGTGGCCCATCTTCATGTTCAGAAACAACCCACGTCCCAACGACTGTCCACCAAGTTTTTGCATATGGGCAATTCAGTTTATGGTTGCATTTTTTACCTATGTAAATCTTATTCTTTTCACAATTGATCTCATTTTTACGCTGCTTGGCATATGTGGTTTTAAACGCACATAAGTGCACCAGTTTCCTCAATTTGGTGGATTTTCTATTCTTTATCTTTTTAAGATGATACAAAAAAGACTTGATGTTACCTTGTGGGGTAAACAGTTTGACCTCAGTATCCATCTTGGTTCTCTTAGGCATTTTTCACTGTTCATTTTATATTAACTTTTTACGTTGTACGTTTTTCAAAATTTGCTTTCACTCACAAAAAAATAAAATGATACAGGAATGTGACATGAAGAAATATCTAAGTTTGAACTCTTTTACAGTTTACGTTTAGAAAAAAAACACAAAAGAAATTTTGAGAAACAGAGTTTGACTGGAAATTTCTCATCCATGAGTAAGTAAATATTATCAGGCTTCATACTGGTTTCACCATATTTTCAGCTGTTTGAAAATAAATAACAAAATCAATTATCTATGGACAGGAAAGGCAAAAAAACGGAAACAAAAACCTCCTGCTTGATGTGACAAAAGTATAAAAGTAGTTTTATTTTACTTCAAATATTCATTGATATGTAAAGATGTATTAACCACTCCATCAGGCCATACGACTCATTTTCCATTCAGGTACCATGTCATAAATCGAAATATTTGAATAAACTCCTAAATTATATTTGCCCATCATACAAGACTTGGTTGTCAGTTTAAGAACTGATCAGTAGTAATCCTTTTGTTCACTTGCTAACCTCTTGCCAGTTCGTCCAGTTCATTTTACAGAATACAAGTACGCTTCTTATTTTGAACGCTTTTCTTCCAAGATCTGGAAATCCTGATTTGAGCGGCATGTTTTGCCCATTCAAAGGGTTTCGGGGCATTTTACGCCTCTTGGAAATAATCTCCTCTGCGTTGTGTCTCATCATCGTCATCTTCCGGGGCAGAATGACGAGTCCATGGGGGGTCTGGTGTGAGTTTGTCTGGGTGTTCTGCATCTTTGTGCCCGCGGTCCTGGCGGTGGTGGAAGACAAAATGTGGCACATCCTCCTGGCTGCCTTCCTCCCAGACTGGGCTGACCTGACCTGTGGCCTGACCGCGCTGTGTGCGGTGTCGGCGGTCTCCGTCACACTCATCTTTGCCTCCGTCTTCGTCTGCCTCTCTTGCATCGTCAGCATCCTGTGTCTGATCTTCTCCTCGGCCGCCGCCCTGATCTTCCTGATCGATGCCGTGATGCAGAAAAAGATGCTCCCCACCGGATACCTGTCCAGCCTGAGAGGAGGCCTCCGAGCGTCCCAGGCATTCGTAGCCTGCATCGTTCTGACTGCAGCCGCTGACCATTTTGTGACTGGAGAGTGGTCCTTTAAACCCTTTGGCTTGATATGTAGTGTTGTAGTCTTTGCAGCTTGCCTTCTGCTCACCGTGGTCATCATGGTTCTCAATCTGCTCAAGTTACTGCAGTGTCTGCTGGCTTTCAGGTTGAGTGTGATGGAGTTTGTGTTTGACATAGTGGCGGTGCTGCTGTACTTGCTTGCTGTCATTCTTTGGCCTGTATTTGGCTACAAGCGCTCCAACTACAACCCTTATATCTGTGACAAGTGCTCCTACTCAGACATGAACACAGTTACAGTTGGAGGCATTCTCAATCTTATTCTTTACATGGTAGATGTGGTTTTATCCTTTAAATCCCTCTAAAAGCCAGAGAACAGGTGAATTCCATGTGCTGCCTGCTTTAATTTATTCACTCAGAAGTTGTTTAATGACAGAAGTTGTCAGCTGTTCCGGGCTGCATATTATGAATTAACAATTCAAACCAATAAGTAATAGGAAGGGAATAACAATTCAAAACATTGCTTTTTTTTGTATGAAAATTGCTTAAAATAAAGACTTGCGATCCGTGGTTGCTAAAGCAAGAGGGCGACCTCATGATTTGAGAAATATCACACTATGTAATTTTTTTATTTATCTTACGTAATAAGTTCCTTACTGGTGATCAGTAAAGAAAAGGAAAAGTTGTCTTTAGGCAAGGTGAACAACCACAGTCCCTCCCACATTTAATAACTGGACTTACTTTTTTGCATCTTAAATCATCCGTTAACATTTGACTATTTCTACATAGTCAAGTACTACATATTTACTCTTACTACCGCTATTAATATTGTGGCCGCAGCTCACAATAGCTTAAAGAACAGTATATTCAAATGTCACAGTCCTCAGTAAAACTGTGATAGTGAATGCAAATATCAGCCGCAGGGTCAAAGACGACTGCGTTGACGATGACGGATAATTTATACATTTTATAATGATACATAAAAATGATACGCTATGGAAATGAATATGCCGAGTGTGTAAAAAATAAAACCTCAAATCAAATAAAAATTCTGTGCTGGTTTTATGCTAGCGTGTCACATGAGGAACTGGATGTGCCTTCATGCCTCCTCTGGGCCCTCAAACTCCACGGTCTCCAGCAGACCCTGGAAACAAAGGTAGTGGGAGTTGCAGTATACCGGGGGCTTGTTGGGAGACGATCCCACCACCTCTGGCTTCAGCGACCCGAACGGGTTGGCTCCACTCCCTTTCATGTCCATCTCCAGCTCCAACAGGATTTGCAGTGAGTAAGTCATCTCTGTCTCACTGAGGATGTGAAGGACAGTTACAGATACACAGTAAATCGTATGAAACACACACACACACACACACACACGCTTTCCAGAAGATAAAATGCAAATGGGCTAAAGGACAGTTCGGTTAACTGAGGACGCAGCAAGCAAAGCGAAACCTGAAGATAACAGGCATTAATATCACCCTCACAGACCGTTTTAACTGTTACTGTGATGTGTTCAGGGCTGATCATTTGTTTGAAGTTGTTGATCCTTTACTTCTACATTTGAAAAGAGACTAATTACACAAATCAAAGACCAAACATGTATACTTGTTATGGTGACTATCAGCTGCATATCTCAATTTTGTGAATTCTTAATTCAAAAGTCCATCCCATGAGGCGTTTGTAGTCTATTTAGATCTATAATAAATCACATTAATTATTCTGTGTTCATTTTCTTCAGTAGCACAATATTTATATTCAAGTGGTTCTTTTATGTAAAATCATTATCTAGAAAAAATTAGCAGTAACCGAATAGCACTAATTGCACTCAAGCGAGTGTGCTAAAGTCGCAGTAAATCTGACATGTTATTATAGTGAGGCACATCAGAGTGGCTGAACGTTCCACTGCAGTGTTTCTGCTACAAATCTCAGGCACTCACTTAAGAGCAGTGAAGAGAGCAGGAATCTCATAATCCCTGAGGAGCAGAAGTGTTGGAAGCCAGCCTTCATCCAGGCCTTGACTCGCATCAAAACCTTTGAAAGACGTTGAGTGAAGATATGAGATCCATATTTCTATTTTTAAATCATTTGAGAATATCTCTTTCAGTGGCATAATGACCTGTGGAAGAACACATTTTTTAAACGATCTTTGAATGAGATAAGGGAAATGTTACATACCTGGGTGAAATCCGACCACCAGGTCGGGCTTGGCTGCTTCCTCTTTCTCCACCAGCTCCTCCCAGAACTGGTGGTAGAGGCCTTTGTAGGCACTGATGTAGACGTTCTGCTTGGGGCCAAATGCTCGAAGAGGAGGCCTAACAATGGGGCCATCAACTACCTCTGGACCCACCATGACGATCTCGATGCCCTGGTGTCCGGGAAACATGCGGCTCAGCTCATCGTAGTCGGTCAGTCTGGCCCCCAGCGTCTCGCTGTGGCCCGCTCCCACCAGGTGAATGGTGAGAGGTTTAGAAAGCGGATCGAGGCCGAACATCCTCATTCCATGAGCGATGGTCAGCGGCCTGGAGAAGAACTCGCTGCAGACCCTCCACAGCGAGAGTTTCAGCTCGTCGTCCTCGGGCCGGGGCCGGCCCGCGCTGACCCACAGGTCCTTCATGTTAGCGCCGTGCAGAACGGGCTCCAGGCGGGACGTGAGCTCCCCCTGCATGCTCAGCCAGTCATCCCAACCTTTAATCTCTGACCGGGGCTTTGACCAGTTGTCCGTAGGGAATGGAAGGTCTCCTGACGGCAGACGAGATGACCTCAGATTAGCGTCTTAGGCATTGAGAGCTAGTTGGGAACGATTTGTAGCAGGAGACCATAATAAAAGTCATAAGCATACACTCTCAAAAACATTTTACCTTTAAACACAAGCCATTCCACAACCCTGTCAATGGCGGCAAAACGCAGGGACGGACAGAACTTCTTGTGTTTGGGCCAGTCCCCCTTCTGACAGTCTTTACAGCAGTAGTAAACATTTAGACATCTGGGCAAAGAGAGATATTTCAAAACATGTCCATGTATTCATAAAAGGACCTACATCTATACCGGACCGATATGATAGGATTCTATTCTGATATGATACGATTTTTCTTCACCTGGAACAACGTTTCAAGCTCTGTGGGTTGGAGAGTTGTGCCGGTCGCTTGTCACAATGAGTACAGACTTTAAAAGATTCCTCCATCTTCTCAAACATCTCCTTCTGCGACCGAAAGGCCATCGGTTTACCTTTGGCTTCCTGAACGGGTCTGCACAAAAAAAGTTTCTGATTAGACAAATAGTAAAGAAAACAAACAAACAAACACAAAAATATATAAACGGTAAGAATCCGAATTGCACAGCCTCTTTTATCAGGATTTATTGCTATGGACGAAGCAGGGCAGCATTGGAAAATAGTTTCACAGACTTCAGATGTTTTAAAGAAGGCATAAATGCTTTATAGAAACTACTGAAGGCTATAGCCATTAACTCCTCTGCAAAAAGCGACCACTTAAGTTCTGGTGCATTTTAATAGCACAATGTGACCCTTTTATAGGAGTCGCTCCTCATTTGAAGCACCACAAGGCGAATAACTGACAAGTACTCGAAAGCTCAGTAAAGACCATGTGAGATGAGAATGGAATGCGACGTGCTTACCCCTCAGTCTCTGTCATTTTTCAGCAAACTGCGTTAATGTGCATGACACGGGCGCTTCGGTTGCCTCTGCGGGTGTGACACATGAGCGGCCTGTTGGGGGGCTGCTGGGCCAGATATAGCAGCTGCACATTTCCTTCCAGAAGAGTCGAACAATTCCAGAGCCTTCCTGACGGCACAAGAGCCACACACCAATGGCAACTCCAATAAGCTTCTATGTATTATTCTATTTATTATAATCAAATGTATACATCTATTCTAAAAACAGGGTTCTATGGCAAGAGAAAAAGATAGAAAAAACATGGCAGTGTCAGTTTTTACACGTTTTTGAAAATAATTGCCATTACTACTAACCTGTTTTTTTCCTCAAAAGAATGTCTTTATTTGAAGTGTACTAAACTGGAAAAGGGGTCATATACCCTAAATGAAGTGTTTTCTGGGTGAATTGACAGTTTTCTTCCACAAGGGGTCAGTGCCGCTCTGCTGAAGTGGTATCAGAAGACATAAGCAAAGAAAACTTCACAGTAATTTAGTTTAAGTGAGTGGTTTTCATGGCCTGAGTTGTGAATGGGGTATTAATATGTTTTTCACCCTTTCCATGGTAATGTGTTTTTTTAAGGGCAGCAGTTTCTACATACAGAAATGGAACCTTTGGAGATCATCTCACTATCAATGCAGAGTTTATACTGAGGTGTCTGGAATCCAAATGGGGTAACCATTGTGATCCAATAATAATATGCACCTTTATTGATATGTAAGAGGTTTTCATGATGGATCAGCTTTAATTCAAAGAATTTTAAAATCTGTTGCAGGGGTTAAATTCTGTTACGTTTTCTTGTCAGTAATGTTTTACTAAATTATGCAATAACCCTGCACGATCATGTCAAATGCTCTTAGAAAATAATCACAAGGAGTAATAACTTTTATGTGGATATCTTTCATTGATTTAGCTTGTGCTTTTGCTATTTTGTTCCGTTGTATAAATAATACATTCATAATTTCAAGGATAAATAAATTGGGCATTGACTTTCTGAAAGTATCAAAGAAAAATATTGTGCTTTTTACAATATTGAATCCATTTTTGATTCTTATAATGCAATACTCCAAGCACAACTCACTCCATTCTACTGAAGCAACATTTCTTAAAAGAAAAAGAAAATGCAATGATTAAAGCTCCTAAAAAATACTTTGTTTCTTGTTTATTAAATGTCAGAGTGCTTTAGTCATCGTTCTACAATCTTAGGGAATCTTACTGGCAAATTTGAAAGACTCAGAAGCATAATGAGCAGATTCACAGGCATGTGCAGGTGACGATAAAACAGCACCTTTCAGAACTGAACTTACAATTCAAATCCAGCATCAGCAGCAAAACAAAACTAAAAGTACTGCACGATGAAACAGTAAAACAAAAAGCCACATTAGTATTCATATGAACCGGTTTTGATGCAGCTGTTGTGGGCTATGGAGATTGGTCTATCCACAGAACAATTCACAGCAGCTATTGAATGTTGATAGAGCTAATTATGGTCTCATTACATATGCATAACAATGACCCTTCATATCCGACAGCGGGTTCACTTCGGGGCACAACCTGAGGAGAGACCTCTGTGCTCAGTTTGTGTCATCGTCAGACTAAATGAGCTTCTGAAGGATGTCTTTAATCTGCCTCACTAATTACTGATGTCACAAGTCAAAAGAAAGGGGTTGGTCAAATTTTGACAGTGAAGATGCCTTTTTCAGCCCAATTGGTTTCATTGATATATATATATCGACGTAAATGTCCATCTCCAACGGTTATAGAACCAATTTGGAGAGCTGCCTTTACACAGGCCGGCTCTCTTTGATGGGGCTTGACGATGAGCTGTTAACTGTCTGCACCGGGCCCCTCCGCGCTTTCTCGAGGCAGCAGTCCTTGGAAACAGATGTAATGAGAGTTGCAGTAGACGGGAGGTGTGTTAGGACAGGCCTGGACTTGCTCTGGTTTTTGGGAGGTGAACGGATTGGGCCCGCTGTCTCTGATGTGCACCTCCAGCTCCAGCAGGATCTGCAGTGAGCACCGCAGCTCCATCTCACTGCAGGAAAAGAAAAACAGTAAGAAAAACATCAATAACGTTCCAACGTGAGTTGGCTTTGAACAAATACACAAGTTAAATGTGATGGTGGACTGCTGTGATGACTTAGTAGTGAGACCAAAAACTAAACAAGATGTAGGACTGCCACAGAGGATGTGAAGTAGACTCTCTATACTCATCACAGCCAGTGTTTCTTTCAGGGGATTTTAGAAAAAGGCATAAAAATAAGAAAATGCCCTCGAGCATAAAATGATTAAAAAAGAAAGCTCGGTGGGAGGGAAAGGGACATCATCTCCTCTGTAGGATGTGGAACCCATGATCAGAGATAGAGAACAGTGGTGTACCTGTACATGGTGAAGAAAGAAGGGATCTCATAGTCTCTGAGCAGCAGAAGGGTCGGCAGCCAACCTTCTAACAGGCCCGGGTTAGCGTGGAACCCTGTGGTAAAAACAATTTCAGACAAAGATCAAACATACCACGGGCTTTCTGAAATAAATCTACGACAAATAGGCAAAACAAAAACATTCAATCTGTGAAACCACCGATTCTATGTCATTTTTAAAGGAGTTATTCCCCTTTATTTCTCTCTAGCTGCCCCACAGTTCACATTCTTTTCTAGCTTTATCTTTTATTTTATGAAGCTTTCAATGCTCAAAAGGTCGAATGAGAACAGGTCTGCATGGAACACTAATTTATTATGGAGCAATGTCGCTGTGATATGAGCAGAATGTGGTTTGGTATTGTCTTGCTAAACGAAGCATGAACTTTCATGACAAAGAAGCTGTCTGGATGGCACTTACTCATGCTGCGTGCACGAACGCACACCCACATACCATTGTAAAAACTTTTTTTTCTAAACTATGTACTGGAATAAATAAAGATTTTCCAACTCCTCTTTGGCCCAGAGGACACATTTTCCACTAATCTAGGATAAATGGGAGAATTAGACCATTGCAGCATGTTTTCCTCTTTGCTCAATCCACCTTTTATGGGCTAAGGTCAAGAGCGGGTGGATATGTTTCCTCCTCTCTTCACCATTCCTCATTTACTCTGCAACATTGCTTTTATGGGGCCTGCAGTGATTTCCACCACAGTAGTTTGTTGCCATGCATGACCTCTGGAAGATGTCAGATGTACTGGTTTTGTACTGGTGTTGTCCCTCATTCAGATTTCTCTGAATTTTCGGACCTACGCGATTTGATCGATTCAGCTATTAGTCTTTACAATTTAAACCAGACAAACACTATTTCTTGATTGGGCAAAATGTAGTTTCAGAAACAGTTGGAAACCAAATGCAGTCATGTTAATTCCATAAGGTTATGTGTGCAGTGTTATATAACACTTGCATAACACGTCTGATACTTAGAAAAAAGTAAGCTGTTTTCCCTCCGTGAGGTGAAGATTGGGCAGATTACATTTGTTGAGTCTCCAGCTGGTCAAATCGCCCTCGTGTTTGTGGAGTCAGTGCAGCAAATGCAGTTTTACGCACAGCAAGCAGGCATCATTTAGGAAGCCCAGATGAACTGAAACCAGATCAGCTGCATAGATGCATTTTTTCTGTAAAGGGATCTCTTGTCACTCAGATACTATGTGCTGGATGAAATCGGGCTGCGCCCGGGTCGGGTTGGGTGTAATCCTTCGGCATATTAACTGACAGATGTCACTTTTTCCTGAATCTGGTTCAAAGTAGCTGTGTGTTTATGAGCAGCAGGGCACAGAGGAGTGAAAAGTTTAATCATTTTCCCAAGATTACCGTGGTACAAGCAACCATGGAGGACTGTAAATCTGACTTCACTGTCCTTAAAGAAAAAAAAATCTGTCATCAAACAAGAAAATGTTGTGTGTGTATATATATATATATAGTTCTATATGTGTGGGATATTCAGGGCACACCACCAGGGCCGGTGGTATCAGCACACAGATGGTATTACAGGCCAAGGGATTTCTGCTTGAATAATGCACGGCGTGGTATTAACATCCCAGAGGTTACGCTTCTCATCAAGATAAAACATTTAGGAGGGAGTAAGCGTTTAGGCTTTAAGACCTCCAGGAGATAAGGTGACAAAGAAAGACTAAAGCCTGGCTGTTAATGATGACAATAATTGCTTGGCACCGCTGTGAGTTTGGGCCATATGGTGGATGACGCTGCCGTTAATGATTGTGTGTTTTCTTTGGGTTCCTCCTCTGAAACGATGTGCCTTGCAGCCATGAATATCTGATTTGTTTCATGAATAACAAAAAGCAGTCTGCCGTACTCAGGTTTAGGATAGTGTCTGTATGGACAACACAGCAAAGACTATGAAGCCAGCAGTTGACTATTTCTTGCCTTTTTAACTTGTAAGGCATGTTTTTTTTTGTTTTTTGTTTTTTGCTTTCACTTGAGACTTTAACGCACACACATGCAAACAGCTTCTTTGTCATTCTTTTTGTCATTCTGCCTGCTCCCCTATCACTTAGCAGCGTCATAATGCGGTGCTCTGCCAGCTTTGCAGTATGAATTGCATCCTGGCTCTCAGGCAGCTCACCACAAGGATGAATGATTCTTGTATATTTAGCTTCAGTTGAGTTTGCAGACTGGGGTTACTGGTGCATTTCCATAAAGATTTAATGGCGTGAGAATGGACTTTGCCAATGTAAAGACCAACTCAATTCTAATCTCAGGTTCTTTTTGTATTGCATTTCAGCCGTATTAAATTGTGTCTGTGATTTGTGAAGAAGTTTGTGCCTTGGACTCCATCAAATCAATGAGTATGCACCCAGTGTGGGTGGGGGGGTGGAGGGGGCTGAGTCTCCCCTTTTAAAAGGGCAGCTTACTGACATTATGCTGAGTCTAGAAGTTAGAAGCCAAACTCTTTCCCAGCTGCCGCCATTAATCACCTAAACCCCCAATAAAAGCCTGGGACTAATGAATAGGCCAGATCTGGTGAGTTAAATGTCTCAGGCATACTATGTTCTCTGAAAGGGGTTGTTGTCAGGCAAACATAAAGTGAGACGAGTTGCTGTTTCCATGAGACAGCTGAGAGCTCCAGTTAAAGTGTCTCCACACGGTGGCTGTGATCATTGCAGTCTGTTGTTGGATTTGAATACATACCTGGATGAAATCCAATCACCAGGTCCGGCTTGGCTGCTTCCTCTTTCTCCACCAGCTCCTCCCAGAACTGGTGGTAGAGGCCTTTGTAGGCACTGATGTAGACACTCTGCTTGGGGCCAAATGCTCGAAGAGGAGGCCTAACAATGGGGCCATCAACTACCTCTGGACCCACCATGACGATCTCGATGCCCTGGTGTCCCGGAAACATGAGGCTCAGCTCATCATAGTCAGTCAATCTAGCTCCCGAAGTCTCATTGTGGGATGTCCCAGCTAAATGAATAGTAAGTGGTTTTACAATGGGGTCCAGACCAAAATGCTGTATGGCCTTTCCAACAGCGAGAACTCGAGAGAGGAATTCACTCTGAATTCGCCATAAGGACTGTTTCAAGTCGGCGTCATCTGGCCGCGGCCTGCAAACGCTTTTCCAAAGTGTCGTCATGTTAGCATGAGACAAGATGGGGTCCAGATGTTGCGCGAGGTCTCCCTGCATGGAGAGCCAGTCATCCCAACTCTTCACCTCAGCAGCTGACTTGGACCATTTCTCAGTGGGGAATGGAAGATTTCCTGTAATGATGACAGCATCGGATTTATGATGGATTACATGTAACACAGAAGATCTTATCCAGAGTGGCTGGGTCACATGGAGTAATGATGAACTCCATTTCACCCAAAATTAATATTCTTTACAAATCTGAACTAAAACAGTTGTTCATCTTTTGTTTTCAAACATCTCATTTCTGCTGCTGACTATCAATACAAGCCATTTTCGTACTGCTTCTTAGCAAACGTCCATGCTTTGACAGTAAAGTCCATCCATCCATCCATTTTCTGAACGGTTTATTCTTAAATGGGGTCACAGGGGGGACTGGAGCCTAACCCAGTATTCGATGAGCGAGAGGCGGGGTACACCCTAGAAGGTTTGCCAGTCCATCGCAGGGCTAGAGTAAAGTCGTAATCTAATTTCTTACCAGTGAACATTAGCCACTCCATTAGTCTGTCGATGGCCACCAGGCGCAGCATCTTGCAGACCTTTTTATGTTGAGGCCAGTCTTTCTTCTGGCAGTCTTTTGTACAGTAGTATACATTCAAGCACCTGCAGGACAACAGCAAAGCAGGAGAAAGGGTAGATGGCATGTGTCACTTTGTCAGAGAGTGCTGTACAATCTATATTTTACATACCCAAGTTTAAGTTTAGTGGTGGGAATTGTTCCAGTAGCCCAAACCACCATTATGTTAGCTTGAACCTTCAGAAAGCACTACGACCTAAACCGTAGGAGCTAAATTCCGTCATCTGCTCAGACGACTATGACCTACAGTCAAACTCTTGTTTCGCTCTTAAAACTGAAGGACAAAATGCCCAAGAACAGAATGCTGAGGGTGTCTGCAGTAATGTGATGTTTTAAATTAGTATTCAGAAGACTATTTCTTATGTTAATTCATGTTAAATCAGTGTTTAAAATCATTTCAGGAGCTGGTGCGCATACGTACAAACTAACTTTATTACCGTTAAACTACCTATGCAGGCTTGTTTGTGCTAATAAATAGCTTTCTTATTTGGATCTGGAACCAGTATTTTGACATTCTCACACAGTGACTGACTCATGTCACTCGGTCGGCCGGTGTGTTCTCACACAGTTTAGGTGATGAGGTCATGTTCTGGATTACAGGCCTGACAGTCACTTGCACTCGGTGCTGTGGGAGACAATATTACTACACTTCGCAATCATTTGAAACCAGAGGCACATAAATTTACATAGAATAATTTAGCAGCCACCACAGTCTGTCGGGGGGCCACTCTAAGCTCACTAATCCTCCCGAAGTGGCTTGCAAGCGGACAAAGTGAAGTGAGAAACACATGTGTCCTTTCGAAGTATAAGTGCAGTGGGAAAAAACCTCCACTTTTATGAAGAAGGTAAAAAATAAGCGAATGAGAATTAAAAAGTTGTTACAATTCAGCTCCCGACACCACTGCGTTGTGGGTGGCAGTTTGTTTGTCAGAGGTCTTGGGGATTTTACTTATCAGCATTCCTGTACTGCCTGACTAGAAGCCTGCTGCTACCAGTAACTTTTATGTGAGAGGAGGTGGCAGCTGAGAATTTAAAGGGAATGCACATAAAAGACGGAGTCTATCAGAGACATACAGAAAGGGAGAGAGAAGCAGAGAGAAGCATGGTACACAGAAATACTGCATACTGTGTACTTCTCCTTATTTTCAATACTTTCACCATAATTGTTTGACTTCTTGAACTGCACTAAGCTGCTCTTAATAGGCTGCAGAGTTGCAGAGAGATGAATCACAGTCAGGGGACTTTGCTATATTTGCCACTGGCCATTGTCCATCTCTGCAGAGATAGCTGCACATTTGTGGCTTATCTTCTGGCTGCTGGTACCAGGGCAGCTCGTAATGCTTCGGACATGACAGCGACTGGACAACAAAATAAAAAAGTATCCTGCCTGTGTGATGACGGAGTTAAAAACCGGTCGGCTTAGGAGTCAGTGATCTAAACCAATGCTTGAACACAATAAATCATGCACACGGGTCTGCCTTCAGAAGCAGCAAACAGCAGCTTTCTTTGCGGTCAATCCCAGGTAATGCTCTTCCCTTGTGGCTCTGCACTCACTTCACACAGCGTTTCAGCGTTTCTCCCTCTGCAAGATGTTCTGGGAGTTTATTGCAGCCAGTGCAGAACTTGAAGGTTTCCTCCATCCTCTGGAACATCTCCTTGTAATTACGAAACGATACCCTTTTATGTTTTCCCTCAACGGCAGCCCTGATGAGAATCAAACACTGATCGATTTCCGGGCAAGAAACATATCGTTTGGGAATTTTACAGCAGAAAAGGTAAAGTGTAGAAAAAATACAGAGGGCCTCGCAAAACGTTTATACCTGTATTCTCCATAGTCTTTCATGTTGAGCTTGTTGAGAATCACCTTGGAGAGTCCAGGTACATGGGAGTCCAGGGCGAAAAACCCGGACTGGTCAGAGAAGACGCTGCCAGTCCCAGGAGAGTAGGACTGTGGCAGTGCTGGAATCTGAGATGCCATGGTGTGGCCGGTTGTCTCAACTAGGAGACCAATAAAGCACAGACGTGTTGGTATCATTGTTTTTTTAAATATGCAAAAGGTAGATCAAGAAGGTAACACCATTTCCCCACCTTGGCCCCGCCTTCAACCTTTCATTATTATGTCTTGGATAGATTCACCTTTTCTCTTTCTTTGGTAAATGGTCCTTTGGTATAAGGTCTAATTTACCATTGTGTTGGTGCAAAGCAACAGAGGACAAATCTGTGAGAGATATCTGTCTGAGTACTTAGCTTTGCTCTTGTTCTTTAATGCCCACCCTTCCCTCCCACACAAACCCCCTGATCTCATAGCTGAGATGACGGAGAAGTCTCATGACAGGGGGATCCTGGAAATCTTAGACAAGCCGAGTGAACATTAGTTACATTCTTTGAAGTTGCATCATTGTGTTCCTGCCCATCCATCGGCAGGAACACAAAGCAGCGCCCATCCATCGGCCAGCCGCTCCCCCCTCCCCTTTTTCTACCGTGCATACATGTTGCAATGTGATTTATTCACTTGGCCTTTCATGGGGGAAAATAAGAGGGCAAGGAAATGTGATCATTTGGTGGTGGCGGCACCACCATGTCCATCAATCTGCCGTTGGACTTAAAGACTTAAATGTGCTATAAAATCAATCACCTGCTGGCCTGTGTTTCTTTATTAAGAACAGCAGTAAAAAACATTTTTGAAAACTTGTAAAGTGATGCAGCAGAAAGTTATTCTTAACTTTACGGTCATAGATCATAAATGCTTGCCTTTGTCAGCCTGTGCACTTACCACACTCATCTTTCTCATATTTCTGTTGAAAAAAAACGGTATCATGTGAAAAATCAAATAAAATGCTGCTGGCTGGTTTGTAGGCAACTACTTAGTTAATATTTTTAGAGGAGATGGGAAGCAAAAGGAACCCTTCCCCAAAAGCCTTATTTTTCCATTACTCCTCTTCTCACTTATTTGACCATGACCAATAGTGGTGAACGGTGAACGATATATCGGATTGGTCTTACCTTTGTATCTAGAGGAGCAGAGAGGCTTCTAGATGATTCTTAGCTATCTTGGTTCTTAGCACGGGATTAAAAAAAAAGTGATGGGCAGCTCCTTGTGCTGGCGGTCACCACCGAACGGAGCATACCAAGTAGGCTGGCGTCAGGAAAACTCGTCCCCTGTGAGACAACGTTGGAGAAGGCTGGTCTGAGGACCAAACGCTGTCATCTGAGGTTACAGGGGAGGCTAGTGGGTGAGAGATGGAGCGGGGTGGGTGAGGGAGGGGAGGGAGACGAAGAAGAGAGGAGTGGAAAGCAAGGCACAAGTGCAGCTTTAAAAAGAAAAGGGAGGGATAGGGCGAAGCGACAAGACGTGGAGACTTAAACGAGAAACTTGGGCGGAGGCCAGAGAAATGTAAACTGTAAAATATGAGAGCCGTTCTAGGAGGTACTCGGATAGTCCATATGGAAGAGGGAGTCCTGAGGTGACAAGAGGTGACATATCAACGCTCAAATAAACATCCAAAACAGTAGAATGAAGTAAGTGCAGTAAGATTTTATATCCCAAACATGATTGCTTCCAAACTGTATGCATAGGAATAAATAGTCTAATGTAATGACATTAGTTCATTCTAACCTTTTAGAATCTTCCAGATTCCCCCAAATGCTCTAAAACCATTCTTCTAATAGTTCAAGAGGAATTTAAATACGGTACATGAATAAATCAATCGATGTTCACAAAATGACAATGGCTGCTTTTTAATTTAAAAAAATTTATTTGGTCCATTGGAACCTGAGATTGAAAATTAAACATACATATTTGTACACATATTCATACCCCATAGCCCCCCCAAAAGATCAATAAAATATATATCACATTCGTCAGAGATGACCTTTTAAGCGTAGATTTCAGTTTCTATCATCTTTTCATTTTTTTTTCTTATAGGTTTAAAAGGATCAGCTGATGTTTTTCCCCTGTCTTCTTTAAATATTTGTATTTTTTCCTCATCAGTTGAGTCTGCAATTTGTACAATATACAAGGAGGGAATTGGAGAAATGGGAGAAGGGAAAAGGCATTGCATGTGCTGCACAGAGCACCTCTTCTCAGGCTGCTGTCCGTTCAGCAGCAGGGGGCGCCCCCAAAGCACAGAGGAGACCAATACCAGCCAACGAAAAGGGACGGCCTACATAGGATACCAGCAAAAACTCAAAGTGACAATTATGATCAAAAATGAAACAAGACAAAAGATAGAACCCAATGTAAGAATAAAGTGATCCAGCAGGGGACACTTTCCTATTGAGGTGCCTTATCTTTGCAGATGTTTCAGTGCAGCTTCATTCCTTGTCAAGCTAAACCTCTGGGGCTCAGAATAAAGCCACACTGCATCACAGTCCTCTATCTGTCAGTTATTTAACATTATTGATCGAAAAAAAAAAAAAAAAAGCCAGCAATTCACTTACACAAATAAATTACGGCCATAACTTCACAGTGACGAGACTGTGACCTCGCACACGCTCGGATGACAAACAGACAAAAACGAGTGCCTTTTTTGTTTTTGTTTTTTTTGTTTACCCAGGATGTTTCTTTGGAAAAACGTATTTACAGTTACTTCGGCGTCTGGTTTTGATACCGAAATGTTTCAGTGCTGCACCAGCCTGGCAACAGTTCTGAGGCTGTGGTGGGGGGGGGGGGCGGCCCACCCTGGCTGTGCAGGAGAAGACTGTCACTTACCATCACCAAACAGATGTGACAACACTCATAAGCTGACGCACGTCTCAGCACTCCCTCACTGTCACCTGCAGAGAGGCATCGCATGGAGGAATTTGAATCTTGTAGTTATTTCGACAAACGATTTGTAAACCAAGTTTCAAGTTTCCCCAATTCGCAACACAATAGTAAAACAACTTTTACTTGAGACACCCAATCCGGCCTTCCGCTCTGTTTTTACTGGCCTGTCTCTCTTGTTGTGAGCGCAGCAAGCCTGACAAACTGTTAATGTGTCATTTGGTGATGACTCCCCCTCCGCCCTCCCAAAACGAAAACCAGCCCCTCCCTGTGGCAACCTGACTGCTCACAAGGAGTTCCTGTACAGCTCCCTAAACGCACCGGAGCAGAAACCGTCAAACTAGCAAACCATGCAGGAGGGAGAAGCACGCTGACCTTCATCGGGTGTGAAAAAGCTACAGCGCATGATGCAGACTGATGTTCCGTCCAGAGGTTACCCCACAAAAAACTTCATCTAAATGGAAAGATGCGACATGGCTAAGAAAAGCTTGTGTGCTCGGGGGTCCTGCTGGAGGTCTGCCCATGTCATGAGTACTTCCATCATTTAGACGCTAAAACAAGGTGACTGAGTGTGATTCAGAATAAGTATGAGCAATGAGGTCTGTGAAACTGCTGTTTCTAATTAGTATATATGAAAAAAAAAACTTTCACAAGACAAAACCTCCCAAATACACAGTTCCTATAAAAGAGGCAGTGATGACACCACCACAGAAGAAAGAACAAAGAAATAGGCTAATTCAGTTATATGGTCAGCTGATGCTACACTAACATGAACCTTATTGTACTAAAAACATAGGTTTGGTCCTGAGCTAGAGAGTGTGCTAGACGGCACGTGACGACGATGGAGAGCAGAGACACACAGTTCTGCCTCGTCTATGACCTCAACAACACCAATCTGGATAAGACTGAGAAGGAGTTGTGTATAAAAGAAACACGAGTTGGATTTGGCTCATCATGTACCGTATATTGACAAGTGGTGACTTGAAAAATGTCTCCCCTGGATAGCTGTTTTTGCGGGCAAGTGTCTGACCGGGTGACTGGCTCTTAGAATGTATGCAGGCAGATGGCTCAGTAGTTTTCAGCACTCCGCTCATTTTCTTACGCTAACTGAGGGGATGATTGCCATCTAGCATATGAAAACCAAGGGCTGAACTGTGTTTCCCCAAACAACGGTGGTTCCCAGCAGCCACAAACAGCAGAACTAATGAAGCTTGGACTTGGTCTTTAAAAGGGCCTGCGTACGTTATTATTTTCCCCAGGTCACTTCACACAGTCCACTTCCCTCATTCCATCCGTACATGGCACGTCCACTTGGCAAAAGGGGCAGGATGTGTGATGACAGACTGAGAGAGCAGCGAAATGCTGCCTATCTATGCTTTACATTCATGTGTACATAAAAAAAAAAACACACACACACAAAAAAAAATATTTTCCTCTATGTTTTAGGGCTCCAAGCATCACTCCCCTATCCTTGCATTATTTTCCAGTGGTCTGACATTTTATTGGATAAGAGTCTGTGTGTGAGGGGGTTAAAACAGGGCGGGGGTCATAGGGGCCGGGGCCGGTGCAAGCCGTCTATGTCTGGGGTGAGCTGGGGGCTGTGAGTGGCCTTGGTCGGAGTCCAGTCGCCCAGTGAGGCCTGGGCTGCCTTACGGTGAGCCAGGCGATGGGTGATTGAGAAGCCAGCGTTTCCCTCCAGCTGAGAGAGCACCACCAGCACCTGCCTACAGGGGGAGACAGGCGGCGTTAAGAGGAGCCTATCGGCAGGAGCTCCACACCTCCAGGAAGGATCAAAGTGCATGTTGAACAATGTGAACACAAATGACGAGATTGGTATCTCCTTTATGGGGTGGCGGGAGTTTTAGGACAAATAAATACTAACAAAACCTTCAATTGAAGGAAGGAAGACAGGATTATAAATCAGCACATAAAAAGCGTTGATATGTAGAGATATATGGTGATGACACCTCGATGAATAAATAATATCAGTTCATGAGCTTCTGAAAAAGATCACACAGCTAAAAGCTTTCAACTATGTACCCAGTGTAGAACAGAAAATGAGCGAAAATATCTGAAAACTGGACACGATAGCGTTTCCAGAATATTTTTTTTAATCAACTGAAGTGGGTTGATGTTCTGTGTTTGATGACTGACAATAAAATGTGACTTTTAACGCATGGTGACTTTTAATGGCTTCCCATAATATGGGCCATAAATTTTGAGTGCTAAAGTCCTAAATTTACATTGATGTTACCGGTAAAATGCTGTAAAACTGTACGAGAAGCTAAACACAGAGACCGTTAAAGACGTGTGAACTGCTGCACTGAATGCGTCTGTGACGAGGGTATAGCCTAAAGATGGATTCTGGGGAAAAAAACACTTTCAAATTGTGTGCATGAAGAAGAGAAAGAAGGGGCAGGACGGGGGTACCTGTGTAAAGGTGGTACGCTGTCGATGGTCTTGAGGCTGCCGCGTGTGGACACCACATTGAAGCTGTCAGTGCAGTCACATGAGACATGGAGGTAGTATTTGGGGTGGCGGTTCTCCACCACCACAATGAGCCCCGCCCAGCCGTGCGTCAGGTAGTAGCAGGTCATGCCCTCGCGGCCCTGGGAGCATTCACACAACGCATACAAGTAAACCATGTCCAGAAAAAGGAAAAATCTGTGCTGTGTAATGTGCTTCATGGTTCATATCTGCAAAGGAAGGTTTTTTTTTGGTTTCTTACTCCATTGTGCTTAATATAGGGAGGAGAACTTATTTCTATTATTTAGAGGAGAGATTTTGATGACTGAGGTCAGCTGAAACACTCCACCATGGGACTTTGTTTTGTGCCATTAGATCACGATGGCATTAATGTGTCATTTAGTGAGCCAATAAAATTTACAGGAGGAGCACATGTGAGTGTTTTCCTTTGTATCTCTCTGCATTTGTGGTGAAAGCTGAAACTCATTTGCTCTTGCTTCTCTTTGTTTCTAAACCGCATATAACTAACCAGAGAAATGAAAAAGCCAACACTACTGCACCAGTATTTTTTATATAATATATACTTAAATTCCAGGAAGATGGGACTTCTGATTTATTGTATTTTGCAGAAGTTCAAATTCTGATATCCTGTTTCCCTTGCATGCTTCATTACTGGATGAAAATTAAAAGACAAACAATACTGACCAAAGGAGGAAGAGTTAGAAAAAACAAAAAAACAAGAAACAGATGAGTGGCGCGGAAAGGAAGTCCAGAGTTTATGAGGCAAAAATGCAATAGAGGTGAGTTGGTATTGTTAACGGGCCCGAGGCCGCCCTGCAGTGCTAGTTTCAACAACACGGGTCGTTCAGCACAAGACTTATGACACTATTCTGTCGAAAAGAAGGATCAGTAGCCCACCAGCTGTGCGCGGTCCAACTGCAGACATGGGAAATACAAGTACCCGAGAAATAAATTGCCTGTCAAGTATTTTTCTATCAGATTAGTTGGCGCTCTGAGCTTTCAGGTAAAACAACTATACATTTTCTCAGGCAACAACAACATCCTCCAAGGACACCACTCTGGCCATGTAAACCACAGTTGAAACATTTCTAACGGGGGACACCTTAAGGAGGAGGAGACTGGAGGGGAGTCCAGTGGATCTTGAGACACATTAAACTAATCGGACTGAAGGGAGGTTTAAATAAATGTTTGGAAAAGTAGCTGCTGAAGTGTGTGTTTCTGTTATTTTGGTGATTGGAAAGAGTCAAATATGTGTAGCTGCCATTTCACGCGGAGCTGCTCACCAACTTGTGCCGAGAAAAATGTTTGTCAGCAACACTAAGCTATTTCTTCCCGCCTCAGAAATACGACTCAAACTGTTTATCTTTATTCAACCGTGTTGTTAAGAGACTGCTGCTTGTACAGTGGCTGCCATGTATTACAGGGGCTCTGCCCTCATATTGTGAGCCCTGGATTCCTGTAAAGTTGAAGGGCTGAATGATTTGACAAAGCCGATATGAAGTGTTTAAAAGCTCCACGATCCTTTAAAACACGAGCCGTTGTGACTGCACTCACTTCAGTGGGCTGTTCAGAGGAGGCAGAATAATTTGTCTACTTGGTTTGAGTGGCTGTCTCTGTACGTGTGTGTACGTGTGTGTGCACATATAACGGGTGAGCATGGCAGACTGAGGGAAATATGTAGACTTGCAAGGTTTTTGCAAGCATCTAGATAATATTTCTTATCCATCAAACTTTAATATAGGATGATAAAAATCTTTTTAAAAGGTTTTGCTTTTAGTATGTTTGGACCGACACAAAGAGAACACAGTGACAGAAATAAGTGTTTAAAAAAAAATCCAAATTTCCTTGTAGGAGAAAGAAAAAAAGTGTTCTTACGAAAACTTGAAAAAGGGCTAACAGTGTGTAAGACTTTGGAGGACAGGTCTTATGGATGACTGGAAAATCCATTTGCACGGTGGAGAGAAATCCCTTTTATGACAGCACAGCGAGGCGAAGTTGCTCTGCGTTATGTAGGCAAACTTGTTTCCAAAGCTATAGAGTTGTGGAAAATGTTTTCATGAAAAGACAAAAAAAAAAGCTGTTCTGTCTAAGCAGTAAAAGAAAAGAAAGGCCACTGCATGTCATCTGTCAAATATTTTTGAGCTTGTCTTCTGGCGTGAGCTTGTACATGACAGCTGTGAGTGGAGCTGGTGCAGTGAAAAATGATTTATGATTTCACTACCGTAGGAACAGTCATGCTGAATGGACGCTCAGATTGGGCCGAACAAACAAACAAAAGAAAACAAAACAAGCCAATTTCATGGGTCCAAATCCTACACATATGCCCAAAATAACCCAAGAAGACTCAAGTCAAGCAGTGGGAAACTGACTGAGTTTCACATACACCCAGTCAGCTTTCACTGCACTTGATAAAAAAGAACCAATAACTTGCTCAAAGTGGCTGTGATAAAGTTTCTTGAGAACCCCTGGAACACTGACTGTAATGTGTCAAAAGCTACATCTGACACAAAGACATGAGCTCATTCAAACTGAAAGTTTAATGCTTTATTCACACATTATCTCATTTCAAATTAAATTTCCTGAAGCAAAGAGCCTGAAGAACTGAGCTGTAAGATTACATTCACTGATGAGGAAAGTGTGTGTGTGCGTGTGTGTATACGTGTTAGGTGCTAAAATGGGAGGGCACATAATGTCAAAATGATCAGATAAAGATATCCAACAGAACCAATGCATTTCTTGAGTGTGTGTGAGACTGTGGTCGCCTCACCTCGTGTCTTTCGCCTTTGTTTTCAGTGAGTAGGATGATGGCGTCGGCCATCGTGGTTGCAGTTGCTTCCACCTGCTCCACCATCACTTGCCGAGAGCTGTAGATGGCCAGGATGTGGCCAGGGAAGTCCTGGCTGGGCCGCCTTGCTGGTCCGCTGGTAGGGCTTGAGACTGGCATTGGGTGACGACAGAGCAATGCTTTAGAATCATAGGGACAATATCAAATGCAATGCAACAGGATTTTGGTTTTCTGAGAGTTTTCTGTCGTTGGGAGCAGAAACGGAGAAACATTCTTGCTGCTCCCGCATCAGGAGGCCTACCGGGTGTGGGTGGACCTCCCGTCCCGCTGACATTAATCTGCCAGTGGTTGAAGGCGCAGCAGACAACAGCATACTCCCCCGGCTCCAGCATGACATCGCAGCCGACAAATTTCTTCACCGCCCGCTTGCTGTGAGCCAACAGGCGGCCCAGAGTCAGCTTGTTGCCGCTACCAAAGGAGGCGCGAAAAACCATGATGCACAGGTCCAGCAGGTGGCTGTCAGCTGTGTCTGAGCGCCTGGGGAGGTATGGCATGTGTTAAGAGCAAAATCCAAAGGGCAAGGAGCAAAAACAAGAGCAATGAGGGGGGGTAAAAACAAAACAACGGAGGAGGGAGACACGGTGGGGAGAGGTTACCTGCTTCCCTCCTGGAAGAGGGCAAACTCCAGCGCTGTCCGCTCCAGCACGGTGAGGGATGTGACGGTGACCGGCCCGCTGGCTTTGGTCGGGAAGCAGCCTTGGAGCCTCACCTCCTGCCAGTCCGAGTGGATCTTACAGATGTCCACAGAGTCAAAGTACCTGTGGAGGAAGCAAAGTGAGCAGTGGGGAGTGTCCATGAGTTGAGCAGCGCGACCAACTGATCTCCCCCTGACATTGGCTCGGAGGATTAGTATTCATCACATGAACCTGTGTAACGTTAGCATAGCTCGGGGGGGGGGGGGGGGGGGCAGGGGCTACACAAACACAAACGTAATTTACCTAGCTAACATATCAGACCTCCATATCAGAGAACACCCAAGAGACATTTTGCTCCCTTACTTTATGCCCGTTTTCCATAATTTCACAGCATACTAATCTCCTTAACAACTGTCTGGCATCTTTCTTTTGTCTTCTGGAAAATGAGGAAAAAAAATAACGATGCCTGAAATGGTGACGTTTAGAAGCTGCCTTTAAATTACAAACGTGTCTTTTTCTTCTCTGTAGGTAAGAACTAATTTGTTGGTTTGTGTAATGGTTTTTAAAATGTCACAAATAGTTATCATCACTCCTGCTTTGCCACATGATGCCTATCAGTTGATAGAAATTGCCCAAAAAGCAGAGTGCTTTTCCTTCTCCTAAACTCAAAGCAGATGCAGAACGCCGTAGAGATTATTTGTCTAAGTCAGAGAAAACAAACAGCCAGAAGGAGGATGGGATTTTCATTTTGGCTGAACACATCTCTTAGGTCTGAGTTAGACTGGAGGACAGCCACGCTGGACTTGTTTTGTTCAGCAAGAGGGACACTCTGTCTCAGTGAAAAACTGAGACAGATGTGCTGTACCCTTGTAATCTTTCTTTACTTTTAATCTACTAGCCCACACACAATACACAAACCCCCTTTTAAATACTGAATTATTTTTGTCATCTGTCCCAGATAATAGTCAAACCCTTTACACCGTACCTCTGATAAATTCATATTTTAAGCTATAACTCTTCTTGTTGGAGTGTGCAACACTAATGCTATTACAGTGAAGTGTCATGTTCCCAGGTAAAATTCACCATTTGAGCTGGATGAAACCTGGCACTTGTCCTCTTTGAATGGGTCTGTGCCATCAGAAAGGAATAAAAAAAATTGAATTGAATCCACTGATAGAAACAAAAGGACATCCAGTGTATCCAGCTGACCTACATGTCTCACTGGAAACAGCTCTTAATGCTGTCCCAACAGGCCTGTGAGGTGGGCTCTACATGATGTGAGCAGCTCCTCTCACCCTGATCCACCCATCACTCTGGAAAAGGCTTAATGTTGACTCATCAGACCACGTAACCATTTTCCATTTCTCCAGAGTCCAATCTTTATGCTCCTCGATAAACCAAATCCCTTTGTACCTCGAATAGACACTCTGGTAAGAAACAGTACAGAGATGTTTAGTCTTAATATAGCAAGTTCACATACTTTTTTAAAATGCTAATTTACAGTTGTTTTTCCATTTCACCAAATACATTTCCAATAAGAGGCTATAACATTTCCCTATTTGTAAGCACTTTTTTTTCTTTTCTTCTGTGTTAAGCTCTAAATGCAGCCTAAGTTTTTAGGTAATTAAGTGCAACAACTCAATCGTTTTCCATAGTGCCTCCCTTTTTTCCCTCAGCCAAAAAGCTAAATGCATCAGTGCTCACTGACTGCTACATGTCGTCAGCAGATGAAATGTGCAGTTCATAAAAAGTAAGGATCAGCGAGCAGGCGGAAAAACACACAAGATAATGGTTACCAAAACATTAGTCTGTCGATGCTGAGCATGACTGATGGACAGGATTAACTCTAATATGAGGAAATATATAAAAACAAAAACACTGAGAGCCACGGCAAATATAAGCCTCTGCTGCCAAGCCTCTGGAAACAAAAGCAAAAGAAACAAACAGAAAAACAACAACACAAAAAAAAATCACTAACTTTATGGTGAATTTGTTTGTGTGTATGAAAGCACAATGTAATAAAACCAATAAAACACCATGATCCGGTGTGGTGTAAAATAGTTCGTATGGTCAGTTAGAACTACTCGAGTTATTTTACTGGCACTCTGATCTCAACAGATTGAACATCTGCTATTCAAAACAGCTGGTGGTGAGTAAATCTTTTATGGGATGAGGTCTCGCAGGAGGTAATACAATTCTGACAGCAGAGCGTTTGGTATAAACACAAGATGTGGGTAAATGTGCAATAAGAGTTAGAACCGTCCCAGCTAAAACTGAATAAACAGAAGAATCCATTAAGCTTGAATACACAGATACTGACTGTAAGGTCAAAAGAAAAAAATGCAGAATTCACCGTCAGCTGGAGACAATGCCCAGACGACCAAAGCAAACTAAAGTAAACAGACTTTCATAATTCTTCTCCCTTTTCCAGAAACTGAAATTAAACTAATGCCCTATGACTATTTTATGTATAGAATGTATGCACAGGTGGATTGCCTTGGCAGAGCATCAGAGGGCTATTTGGCTATATTTATTTAGGATCTGGTAATATTACCACCATCCTCTTAGCATCCAGAATTATTATTCCATGCTTTCTCAGATGAACATTCACAACAAAAAGAGAAGGACCTCGTCACATATATATAGTATAAATATGATTATTACTTTATGAAGTCAGTGTACTCCATCCAGAAGACCCCCTCGCTGCTGCCATGAGCCATCAGCTCGTGACGGAGATGCTGCGGCCATTCTGTCCACTCGTCCGACCAGCTTCCGTTCCAGGAGAAGCGACCCCATGGGTTACGCAGCCGCAATAACCTGAAGCACAGGGAGGGGCAGGGAGGAAGAAAACAGATCAGGGCAAACAAAACCAGAAGCCAGATAAAAATGATAACGACCTTCAGTCAGCAGCGCATCCCTATTCTGGCTCGCTGAGGAGGTGTCTTTTATGGACTATTGCCTAGATTTTACCACCCTATTTCATTTTACTGCCTCCACCATACAGCGAAAAACTTGACACAATGTAGAGCCATATGTGAAGGTTCACACTTTCTCGATAAATAAATAAATAAACAAAAAAGTGCAAGTAGATCATTGCTGCCAAATAGCTTTTTCATCTCCTGAAGATACTGCAAGGAATGCTAAACTTATATTAGATTAAGTGCTGTGGTCCTGTCTTCCACTGATTGCTTGATGGAAAGTAAATTGAAGTGGCTGTGCGTGGCTCTAGAGCACATTATGTCTGAGATTTTTGGCTACTTTCAATTTCCTCTCGCCGGTGACACTCAAGAGGTCTCCATTGTGTGGACTCACAATAGTACCCTGATCAAAGTGATCAAACTCAACCGGTGTGCACCTGTGTTCAAGTGGCATGGGGCCCAAAGCCCATTCACCCACAAGTCACTTGAGCACATTTTGTTCAATGAATCAGATATTTTTCAAAAGGTGCTTTAATGTTAAGAATTCAACACTGGGAATTTTGTCACCATCCTTGATGTTATTCTGCCAATATCTGACTATATTCTTACTTTGCATCAGAGCAAGAAGTGCTGCTTAAAGGATCTTTCAATTTTGCTAGTTTATACTGAAATGGTGCCAAATGTTTTGTCTAAGTGAATTGCCAGCATAATTTCAGACCTCATGTGGGTGGAAAGTCAATGAAATACCGATGATTTCTTAAATGTATTATTCAGTTTTCTCTCCCTTGTATCGGTTACTTTTGGAAATATCAAACTGATGGAAGTGGGGAAGGAACACAGGTTGAAATTAGACAAACGACAAACAGCATTTTCTGAACCAAACGAACCTGTAACCCTGGACGTCCCGAACATCCAGGATGGAATATGCATGTCGAGGCCTCAGACCCAAAGACTCATAGACGGCATCATCGACCTTCATGTTACCGCCTCCGCATGACGCGCCCATCAAAAACCTAACAGACACGGAGTGCCACCAGAAAATGGAGAACATCACAAGCCATGCAAATTGTATTGAAGCATTATTGTCTAAAAATAAAGGTAAATAAACCAGAGCAAACATTAATAACTGTGGGCATTCAGTACTTGGCACTATGCTAAAGCTTGTCACAGTTTGTGTTTCTGTGGTGGAGCATGGTACGTTAGACTCTTCCTCTGACATACTGAACATACATTAAATCCTAATTATGGTAGACTGAACTGTATTTTGATCCCGAATGATTTAGTCCTGTTAGCATTTATCTGGTGTCGCATGGAACTCATATCAAACTGCTAATAACTAGCATACTTTTCTTTTTCACATACACAGATTTAGTATTGAGCCCTCTTGAATCTTTCAAGCGCACTCTTTAATCACAACAACTGCATCTACTTTCTGTACAGAACCACACTCTACTCTTACCCAGCCTCCTTGGAGCTGAGCATCTTGGCCCAGATGAGGTCCGTGTCGATGGGCTCCTCCCGGGGGTTGGTTGAGCTGACCTGGAGCATGAGGGAGTCACAGGGAGCGCCTGTGAGTGTGGCCAGGCCCTCGATGGCCCGCCCTGCCTGCAGGGCAAAGTAGGAGCCATGGAGCTTGGCCAGGGCCTTTTCGATCAGCGCCACCCAGAGCTGCTTCCTCTGGGCCTGGAATGATGGGAGAGAGCAGGCGGAAACATGAGCCTGGGGATGACTCCCCAAAACAAGTGTACCTGCTGCACGGCCTCATCGTCGCTTCGCTGTTTCGAAGTATTCTCAACCTGTTGGCTGTAACTCAGCCGTCAGAAACAATAAACTGATAACAAAAGAGGAGGAATGTCTCATCTATTATTTCTTATCAGTGAATTACCATAAAGTGTAGCTGTTCATGCATTTCTAACATGTTTAGTCATAACAGGGAAAGGAGCCCCCTTCACCTGTGCACCTGACATGGCTTTATTTTTGCTGCTGTACTTTATATCCTAGTTTATGTTTATTAAGGTTCAGATAAGGAAAGATCCTCCCCAGCCAGGAAGAGGTTAATGTCTCCCTCGCAGGTGAGTCTGCCGCCTTATATTTCCCTGTGTTTTATTTGCTCTATAATTAAATTCTTTATTTGACTTATAATAGTTGATTAATTAGACATTTCTCCTCTGTGTAGTCCTTGGAGATATACTTGTAATAAAAAGCAACATAATGAGATAACCTGAACTCATTATTACAGTAGATCATTATTCAGGGTTCCTGCAGGATTCACCCAATTGTGAATTCACCCACAGTGTAAGATCAATAGAGTAAATAATGATGGTTAATGTGCTGTATGTATCTTTGTGTACATGTTACAGGAGGCGGTTTCTTTCGGACAACACCTCTTCTGTGGTTTTGCAGTATGCATGCTAACGTGTATCGTCCCTGAAGGATTCTCCCCATTCTTCTAACCTGGGAAAAAAGCAGGTAGCCGTAGTCATCGCAGGGGAGCATGTCGTCCACCAGCACCGTCGTCCATGTCCCATCCTTACACAGCCGGACCTGGTAGGCTCCCTCAGGGCAGATAGTCCTGGTGATCATCACCCTCTCCACCAGCTCTGGACGCTCAGCCAACACCGCAAGAGCACTCAGGAACCTAGAGAGATATCAAACTCCATGAACTCTAAGGCGCCACATCAGAGCGGACAGATTTCTGAGTGAGAGGATGAGAGTAAAACAAAGCCCAGAGCGCATGTAAATCAGAGGATAAACGGATAAACAGAACTGATAATCTGACTGTGATGTACAAGCAGATCGGTAATGTCTGCCCACTTCGGTAAAAAAAAAGAAAAAAAAAGACACTAATGATGAATAAATGGCTAAAGATGAACATAGTAAATGAGTAAAAGAAAATCAAGGAAAAGCTTAATATAAAATGTATCAAATATAAATGTTGGGTTGAATTATTCTTTCCTATCTTGATACCTTGAGCAGTTACAAATCTTTTGTTTGCCCTCATTTAAATCAATCACATGCGAGTCAAACCTCTGAGCCTATTGGTCACCTTCCCATTAATGTTAATTCATCCTGTGGGTCAGGTAGCATCTCTGATTAGAAAGCTTTTTATTTTTTTTTACCAAGAGAAAATCAGATAAGGACAGAATGACTCAGCTTGGAAGGAAAATAATAAACATAGCGTGTAATATTATAGAAACAAAACATCACAGCTCATTTTGCAGATGAGCGATGACTTCTGCAAATGGCAAGAATGTCACAACATATAGGAGATGAGAACTATCCCTTTCAGTCTGCCCTGCACTGTATGCTAGCAGCAGCTTAAGGGCTGGAACTCTTGTGTGGGCATTAAAATGTGTGTAACTGAAGCTATATTCCCTCTGTTCAAGCAGCAGCTGATTGCAGCTCACCAGTCCATTCAATTGCTAATGAAACTGGCAAAAAGAATCCAATAAAAATCCAATTAGCTGCACCATAATACGACTTTGATGTCAGCTTGAGTTGCTACCGATCTCAAGGACAAAGGTGAATGGCAGTAGCTTTTTTTCCCCTACTGTGTGTGTAAGTGTGTGTGTGTGGTTGTGTGTGTAAAAGAGTGAGAGATCTATGAGGAAGAATTTGGGTTACATCCTGTTGCAAGTGAGAGGATTTGCCTCTGGGGAGGGTTATTTTTGATAAGCTGTGTGTGCTGGTGATGAAGTGGAAAGTTGTATTGGGACAACTTTTGTGAGCGTCTCTTGTGTGTGTGCTTGTGTGTGGGGCGATGAAGGATGGGAGCAGACATAAACGCACACATCGAAGGGCACGCTGAGCAAGGACAATGAGATGAAACATCTTTCCAGACTCGCATTTCTGTGAATAATCTCCCTGTCAGGCGTATCTGTACATTTGTCCAACTCAACCTGGCTTTCGCTTTATTTTCATACTTGTCTTTTTTCCTCTGTTAGTTCGTTTGAAATTGGAACCATTTTAGAGTCTCCTGCTTCCTCTTCTTTAGTGTTCCATAGCGCTGCCTCCGTCACTGCCGTCTAACTTCACCAGAAGCCACACAAAAGCTGTGTTTTATTAATTGTTTGCCTTGTACTTTATTCTTTTACAGAGGCCAGATTTAATTTTGAGAATATTTGGCTACATTTGTTACCTTGGGTCAAGATATATAGCTTCATTTTTCTTCATGTAGTTTTGAAAAAAAAAAGGAAAACTAGATTGCTCTAGGTTATCTACCCTGATTAACCTCCTGGGTGTCACCGTATTTTGTTGTGACAGCTCACCAGCAGTTTCCAAGGAGCCCTTGGAGGATGTCGGATGGCCTTGGCGTGCGAAAGACGGACCACTTGACACATCTGTCTTTGAAGTTGCTGCAGTTGATCTCGTGAGGGCGGAGCCACTTTTTGATTCGCTGCTGGACACTGTCGCCCTCAGGAAAACCCACGGAGCGCGGTCCCGGGGGGAAACTGTCATCCACGAAGTTCACAGAGTTCTGAACAAGGACGACAGATGCTGCAGGAGTTAGAGAGGAAACTTGACAAGCTAGTTTACCTGTTCAAAACGCTGCAAAGACGCAGTAGATTCACCTGGAAGTGAAACTTCTAATGATGTCAATGGGGACTCGAGAGAGAAAGAAGCTTTGCCAACAGCTGATGCAAACCAAAGCGAGTCTGAGCTTGTTTTTATTAAAAAAAAAACAGTTTTTCAGGTGAATGATGGTTAATTCAGGTCACCACAAAAATGCTGTCACAAATTAATGAAATTAATTACCATCATTTTTTTTTCATGAGCCAGGAATTTCTTCCAAAGGGCGGTGTAATGCAGCAGCATGCACCCTACGAGTGAGACACTGGACTCCTAAAATCTGACCCATTATCATAAGCTCATGATCCGACAGCACCATAACCATTTCCCAGTTTTCCACGTAGGAAGTGGACTTGGCCGGTTGTTTCATGAGGCCAAACTGATGGCTCACACCGAGGCGAATTGATTGGCAACCATCCCCCACAATCCTATTTTGCAGCATCGGCTGCCACAGAGAATCGCATTAATGCTTTCCTCCCACTCCACCCATCTGAGGTCTTCGCCTGGCCCGCAGAACCTGTAGTCCAACGGCTTTCCTGTGACCCCTGTGCATGCTTTGATACTGTGAGCTTTTTAGGTCACGGCTGATTTCAGATGGAAGTGAAAAACAAGGCATTGACCTCCAGTGCACATAGAGATGGATTCTTTACACACAATTACAATATATAGAACAGGATAAACCTTTGATTAATGCTTCCTGTTCGCACTCTGGGATATTTCGACATCTATCAGACTCAGGCTGCCTATCTGTTTTCACCGGGTGAACCTGGTCATGCTTCTTTGATTCAATCCCTGGGTACAAAACCAGCGTGCAAGCCCACAAGCGTAATCAGCCAATTCAGCGCTGAGCAAGGAGAACCTGCTGCCTCCCTTTCATCTCCCAGAGAACACAGAGCTGGCACCCAAACAAGGACTTTATTTCCCTTTGGTTAAGGACAATATGCTTGTAACAAGATGTCTACATGTTACAGACAACCTACTGTACTGACCTCCTTAATGTGCCAACCACAAAAAAAACAGCCAATGGCAGCCTGGCAGGTCCTGAATCGTCCCGATCAGTGAAAAGTCGTCACTGAATTTACAGTCAAACCAAAAAACGACATGCACGGTCACACTCCTAAGGTCAGTTTAGAATTTTCTGATGGTGGAGGGAAGACTCTACTTGAGGAGGCAGTCCTAACCGCAGTGCAGCCAACCTGCAAATACCAGACGCACACGGAATAAAAGGGAGTCCAAAATGAACGCAAAACAAAGACACAACCTGTTATGCCAGCAGGAAGTGGAAAAGATAGAATCATAATCCATATTATCGGTGCAGTTATAGATTTTTTTGATTTTTTTTCTGAAACGAAGCAGAAACCCCAAAAAACAAAGGTCCTACTCTGTTTTACAGTTCAGTGGAGCTGTTTGTTAGGCACACTAAGCAACCAGACACACTCTGGGGCACTGGCATCAGGCACAAGCCGCCCATCACTCTCAAAACAATTCAAGGAGAGTCAAAAGCAAAGAGCCAAGCAAGACAAATTGGACTCAGGTGAAAAGACAACATACATAACAACAGAACTGCAGCCCTTCTGTGGACGTTTATCATTTGCTGAGCCACCTTACCATTTACTTACATTTTGTCAATATCACCATCTGCTTAATCCAATCAGCTAAGAAAAGCAGTCCTGCACTCTGAAGCAGCCTCTGTATTGTTGTGGTCAGCCCGCCCACGTGTTTTGTAACAGGGAAAACCAAAAGCTTTTTTCATGATTAAATTTCCACCTCTTGGGTTTCATTGCTTCTAAAGAGTTGGCGCCACAAATTTGGACGAGGAAGACAAACACTCCATGCTTGTGTGTTTGACCCTCGTTATCTCATTGCCCCCCAAAAGATGCAGAAATTGAAGTTGTTTGTAATTAGATTCACTATGGGAAAGAACATCACTTCTTCTCCTCCCTTCCCTCACGCTGCTGCTAAAAATAGGCCGGCCCTGCGTTCACCTTAACTCACACACAGTCAGTCAGACGCTCTCCGGCTGACACACAGGGGACCGGAATGCATTTGTGTGGAAACGGTGGATTGGCACCGAGGGGTGTAGTGGGTGGAAAGTGGAAAAATGTATTGAGCTTTTAGAAGAGATTCATAAAAAAAAGGAGACGGGGTGAGAAGGAGATGAAGAGGGGGAAATACTTTGAAGAGCAAAGAGAGACTGAGCTAAAATATTTGAGGAGACAAAGATGGGAAAAGAAAGTGAAAATCTTAAGTATGGAATAGGGGTCGGGGTGGGGGATCGTATATCTTTTAATATGTGGCAGCTGCTTCCTGAATCCGAAACTGTTTAGGGTTCTTCAGTGCTCCCGTTTTTGCCAAGATTAATCAAGTTTGCCTAATTACAATCGTTGTAATAAGCCAAATGGTTCAAACGAACCCCTCCAACAGCGCTGCATGCATATCCATTACATCACAAAGCCTTATCATAAGTTCTGCTCTGCAGAAACAAAGTGAGCTCGGGGCGGTGTGATACACAGAAACAACAGAAAGGTTGTCGTATCCTAACTGTAGTTGCTAGGGAGGACATTTCTGCAGTCGTGATAATGAGTAGAGCCAATTGGCTGGTACCGACCTCAGTTTTTTTAAATCTTTGAACGTTTAAGGCAGAAGCACTGAAGCAATAAAAAAAATGCTTCACCATTTGAAGTTGTTATGACAACAGACATCTTTTTAATAAGAGGAAATTATAGTCAACTGCGTTTTTCTCCATTAGGAAATACCCAGAATTACTCTTTCACAAATGTACTGCTTCAAAATGTATTCAGCCATGTTCTGCTGTTTAGACAAAAAGGCAACACTCAGGCAAGAAAATGCTTTAAAAGGAAATTGCGCTCATATTGATAAAAATAAATTAATAAAACTCTCTCTGACTCCAGTGTTAGACAAAAAAACAAGCTCTGAGTCGTAAGGCATAACTTGGTGAAGTTACTTCATTGAAACCTGCATCAAAAGGAAACCCTTGGTCTTTCTCAAAAAATAAGCGACAAAGCCAGGCTTAGAACAAAAATCTGGATGACAATGAGGGGAACTTTGTGAAGGTAGGCAGTACGTGGATGATTCATCGGTGTGTTGGGGGAAAAAATTACTGCTATCAGTTGTCTGCATATGTAAACACTCCACTACTGAATACGCTGCTTCGTTTCTTTTAACATTTCAACAAGGATGCAAATCTAATCCATGGATTGGGTATCGCTAGTCCCAAACCCTGAAACTAAACTCAAACATACACAGAAGCCTTCTTTGTGGATGTTCTCTTACCTCTCTGCAGAAGCTGACGATGTTCTCCCAAAGCTCCTTGGCCTCGCCCTCGTCATTTCGTCGACGGGCCTCTACGTGCATACTTTCCCTCCTCTTTAGGGGCTTAATCACCTTGCGAAGGGTGAGGTACTGTTGGGGTGTGTGGCATGCTGCACAGTTCTTGGCCTTGACGTCATTGAGAAGCGTACATGCTGGGCAGCTCCACTGTCCTACCTTCTCCTGAAAGCTAGAGGAGGAGGAGGAGGAAGCAACTGCAGAAGAAGAGGAGGGAAAGCCCCGGGCCTGTTTCCGTGTTTTATGACCTGAGGAGGAGGAGGAAGGTGTGCAGGAGCAGGATGCGGGGCCAGGCCCTACCGGGAGGCCACAGTGTGCGCAGCAACGGGACGCCTGCTGCTCCTGAAAGCCGTGCAGTTTGGAAGAGCCACAAGCCGAGCACTTGGGGGCCCCGGTGGGGTTGCGCAGGGTGCACTTGGAGCAGGCCCAGGTGCTAAAGTCCGGGCTTGACGGGCTGGCTGGAGTAAATCGTACCGTCTCGCTGCCTACCAGGTCGATGAGGTCAGCACCAGCCCGCGAGGCACGGCAGGACTCGCACTTTGACGAGCCACTAGTGTTGGGCAAGGAGCAGCTAGGGCACTTCCAGGTGGGGGGCGCAGAAGGAACCAGCTGGGGAGCCAGAGGGTGGTGGGCATCCTCCTCCTCCAGGATGCTGAGGCGCTTGCTGGGGTAGGCGGGCTCCTGGGGCTGGGCGTGCTTAGGCTTGGGCGGTCGCTGGGGGGCCGGCTGGGCTGGCACGCTGGCGGTGGAGGGAGAGGTGGGGCTGGGCGTGTTGGTTCCTTGGTTTTGCGGGCGGCCGGGAGGGGGCACCTCTCTTCTGCTGCGGGGCACGGGATTGTTTTGGAGGGAAGAAAAAGAAGAGAAGGCGGAGGAGAGGGTCTGCGAGGACACGTGGGGCGATTCTTGGGGGTCGCAGGGAGGGGCGGGGGGCGAGTCATCTGTCAAGTCGATGAGCAGCGGCGCTGACCCGGCTGTGTGGACAGGAAAGCCCAGCACGGGCGTGCGTACCTCAGGCACCACTAACGCCTCCGGAGGGATTTTAGGCAAAGACAGTTTTCGGGGCCCGCCACAAGCTGAGCAGGACAGTGCTACGGGGGTGTTGTGGAGCGTGCATCGCGGGCAGGCCCATCCTGAGTGCTGCCCCTCCAGACCACCCACCTCCCCGTTGCTCTCCGACCGCCGCAGTACCTCCTCCTTGGCTGGATGCTGCCCGTGGGGCTCAAGCAGAACCGTGGGGGTGCTGGTGGGTGTGGTGGGTTCATTGGGGGCGGCTGGGAGCCCGTTGGCAGTGGCGGCTATCGTGGTGGTGGGGGGGGTGAGCGTGGCGGGGGACGGACCGAAGCCGCAGACGGAGCAGGCCCCGGATCCCTGCGGGTTGTTGAGCGTGCAGCGGGGGCAGGCCCAGCGGTGCTCCTCGCTGCTGCTCAGCCGCAGGATCTGGTTCAGGTCGGGCTTCTGCCGCGGCGCCTCGCAGATGGAGCAGCGGGGAGCTCCGCCGGCATTTAAGAAGGTGCAGCGTCCACATGACCACTCGCTGCCTCGCACCGCCGCTGCCATGGAGCCCGGAGAGTGAGAGTGGCTGCAAAAACAGTAAACAATGAATCAGAGCAAGTCCGACAAAGGAATCGGCCAATAAAACAGCTTTTGATGCGTGGCTGGACGTAAATGCTAATTAGGTGTAGCTCTAACGGGCTGCGGAATACTTTACTCCGTAACATTCAAATGGAAATTCAATCCAAGTGTACACGTGCCAACAGAGACAGAGGAGCATTGGGAAGGAATGACCGAAAGGCCAGCGAATGCACAAACTTCCAGAAACACAAGGTGAACATATTCAGGAATAGGGGACAGCCAAAACATTGTGGAGATTGCAAGAGGGGAAAGATGCAGACAAAATTAGAAAAGAAAAATAGTGTGAGAGGGAAAGATTAGCTACAGCAAGGGAAAAGCATCAAATCTCACTCCTGGGGGCATTGGGGGCAGCAAATCCATATACAATGGCCACCTGATTAGAGCCAGGGAGACAGCGCACATAGAGGACGAGCCAGAGGGGAGGAGGCACGCCGAGGCTGCTTGCCTCCGAATATTAGGCCGACATCGCCTGAGTCCCCGTGACTGACACTTATTAGAATGGGAAAAACACATGGGATCGCTTCCACTTTATATTAGCACCTCTTTCCCAGCTCAGTGAATACTAATGCTGGGTAGGTGGGGAAACTTAAGGTCATGTCAATACCATGCCCAAATGGATTTGGAATGGTTGAGTGTGTTCTTTCAGGCAGCACTTCTGATGCTGGCATATTCTAAATGGAAATCATAAATGCAGCTGGAGTTAAAACAAGACAAAAAACTCACAATTATCAATACAGCTAGCTGAACTCAACTGGTGCAAACAATTTAGGCAGAAATTCTAGCCCAAATCCTCTTTTTATTTCCACTTCCTGAAAATATAAAACAACAGCAGCCTCCTTTTCTAGATTGACTTGTAAATTCAATTCATTCTCTGTGCCTGCAGTCCAGTCAATCTGAGTTATTGACGGTGAGTATTTTAGGCGCTTTAGAGTTAGAGAAGCACAGTTGGATACTTCCAACTCTGCACGAGATGTATGAAAAAGGACAGCCCCAAGGGTCGAACAGGGTTACCGTCTCAACGAGCCCATAAATGTCACTGTCACTCAGGCTGCTCATGTGTGAACACCAACACAGGATGGCAACACGGAAATTTTAGGAAAATGGAGTGCGAGGTGCTAAGAGCTAGAATACTGCAGTGCTTTTCACGTTGGTCCCAGAGGGAGCGATGTTGTGCGCAATATATATTTAGTTTGAAAAATACTCTGACTAGCCAGGATGCATTCATAAAAAAGCTTTATAGGGTTTGTGGTTATTTGTAAAGAAATAAAAGTGAAAAAAGAGTGAATGAAAGTTAAAAAAACAAAAAACAGCTAAAGTAAAGTCTTGCTAGCTCTGCCCTCCTGCTGCACTTCCATGTATCCAGACCAGCTAACTGCTCTTAGTTCAACTCCATTAAGCCCTTTCAAATCAAGCAAATCTTAAGGACCCTGGGGAACCTCTTACAGATAACATTTGCTGCCGGCACACTGTCCTTTCCTCTCATCAACTCTTGTCCCTGTGGTAAAGAGGACACACAGGGAGGGGGCCGGAATGTGTCTCCTTGGTGCCTATGGGCTCTGTGTGCATGTGTATACAAGCATGTTGCTATTTTTATCCATTACTGTAGTATAGTCGTTAGTATTTTTTTTCTGCCTACATCTGTGAAGAAGCAACGAAGCAGAAGTCCCAGAGCTTAATGTCAGCAGCCATCAAACCTGCACTCATTCTCTCGAACTGAAGCAGGGTCCCCTTGAGTGAGGAGGAAGACTCAGACTTCCAGTGGTAACAAGGAAAAATAATGGAATGAAAAACAGAATGTTGTACAGAAACACAAACACTTAAGATATTGTGTTCTTAAGTCTTTTATCCCGCAGTACTTTTAGCAAATGACAAGGCAAAATTGTTTCAGGGAAGAAGAAAAAAAACATTCAAAGCATGCTGTGGACACACTTTGCCTGCGTCTTGACACAACAAAAGAGTCCCAGGCACCTGCAGCACCTCAGCAAATCACGCTCGAGCAAAGCAGCGGATCCACGCTAGCTTTGATGGCCCGTGTTCACACTGTGCGTGGCCCTCTGAAGGCCTGCATATCTGAGGACTGCAATCAGCACTGACAACAACAACAACAGCAAGTGTCACCACCTCATGTTTGACGACAGTTCCTAGCCTGTGGCCATTTCCATAAAGTGTCAAGCATTCTCCATCTGCAGAGGGAGAACAACGTTGTGGCGTCAGCCAGCAAGGGATTTGGTTCTGTCTGAGGTGCGAGCATCTCTGGCTGAGCTTTTTTTCCATCACAGCAATCAGAGTCGGGGGAATTTTTTCAAACTTTCCCCATAACACATTATTACTATGATAAGTACTGCATGCATGAACCCCCACAGGGTGAGCTCACTTGACCCCGCTTAAATTCACTCACAGAAGTGTGCAGAAATTAACATGTTCACAGACACATGCACGCACCTTTTGTCCTTGGCCTTTTGCCCAGGGAAGCTGGTCTAAAAGTGCCAGCTTCAGTTCCTCACTGTCGCAGACCTGGGCAGGTAGCCAAAGGCTTACAGTGACAGAGAGAACGAGGGAGAGAGAAGGAAAGGCGAGGCCTCATCTCACCTCAAGAAACCCTATCTTTTTTGCACTGAAGTCCTCAGAACTGAGGGCTGCTCATTCAGGCTCCACTTCTTGGCTAAATTCACTTAAGTAAGAACATCTCTAACCCCTGGGGGAGTTTTCAAAGATGTGCCGAGTGCAAGCCAGTCAGAGCCAAAGCAGACTACAGAATGTGAACTAAAAAGCTCCATACAAATGAGCAAAACTGAAATCATGTGGACAAAAAAAAAGGAAAAATGTATAAAAACAACATGGGCTTGGAGGACACCCTAACCAATAAGCAGCAGGGAAAGACAAGAACCACAAGGTGCACAAAACTCTACGGGAAAAAGAAGAGAAAAATAAATCACTGATTATAATGTGTCTGCCACCAACAGAATGTGTGGCTACTGGGATTCATTCTAAATTTTTTAACAGTGTTGAGAGATCGAATGATCAGAATCCTGCCAGCTTCTCCCTGCCTCACTGCGAGACGTTTGGCCTTTGTGCGACAGTCATTAGCACTGCCATTCCAAAACTGGCCCAGAGCCCAGGGCCTGAGGGAAGACTGTGGTACCTCTCTGGGCCGAGGGTGGCAGAGTGTCTCTTTGCCTCTCATTCAACACAGAGATAACCACAACTACACAAGTGATCAAGTGTTTGATATGGCAAACACTAAACTTTTCGTCTAAAGGAGATATCCTGTTACTGCAGTGAAGCGATACAAAAAAGAAGCTTTTCATAGAGGCATTACATGACTGATAGGCTGCCAGTCAACATGCACCATGTCTCACACAGGTTCTTTAACACAGATACTCTTTAACATTTTGGAATAACATACAGTTAGTCACCCCGTCTAGTTTCCCATTAGAAAACGAGCTGATAACATTTCAATTTTAAGTGAATTTCTTATCATGTGTTTGCAGATGCTGCCCGTGTCTGAGGCAGACTTTTAAAGTGAGCTTTCTGCTCTGAAACAACTCGGCAGACAACAACAAACTTCAACTACAACTTGATGTTTGTATAAATTTCATTTCAAATGTGTACCATGGTAAATAATGAGACAAATGTGATGGGAACCAAGCAACAAAAGCAAACGACGGCCATCAGAGAGTGGGAAAAAGAACAAAACAAGATAAATGCATATATTCAATTCTGCCACATTAGGATTGAACATTGACCAGTTAAAAAATCCTCTAGAGGTATTATGTTCAAGTGCAGCAAGGAATAAACTGTTTGGCTAAACTGTTAAAGAACGGGGGCGGGGGGCTCAGAATTCTTCAGCAAAGCCTTAAAGCATGAGCAAATGCAATTACAATTTACAGAACGATGAACGCACACGTTAAGCTTCAGGAATGTGCTGTTAGAAATGTGTGGAGTCTTGGAAGGCAGGTTCATTTTTGGAGAGTTAATTTATAACAAGAGTAGAACCAGAAATCTGTTGATGGCCTATAAGAGATTTCAATGTGAATTATGTCAATTTTAAACTGTTTTGTTTTGTATGGGAAACCAAAAAGGCTCCCAACCTCCAGCTCAAACAGCTTATGAGGTGCTTATTACAACATTTCTACTTTTTTTTTTGCTGATAAAGCCACATCCCTCTTTGGAACTGACTGGTACGAGTTACATTTCCATTTGAGAAAAATGAGTCCATATTTTGTTTTTCAGGGTTTACTGACATATTTTAGTGTTTAAGCAGGTGAACTCTTTGGCCTTACTGTGTAGACAGGCTCCACATCTAGCTCTAACAGAAACATGGTTGAAGAAAGAGAGCATCCCTTCAGATGAATACAGGGAGAGGGTGAGTGTGTATTTGTTACCATCTGATGAGAACATACTTATATGTGCAAGTGAAAGGAATGTAGGGGGGAGTTTTTATAACAATCAGCTGCATGTGTAAAACAGAGGAATTTCAGAGCGATGTCATCACTTTCTGAATTTGACATTTCTTCCATGCAAACACCTCTGGCTGACAGAGGAGTGATGCCAAATGAGGCCTACTTGTTTAAAAATGTTTTGTGTTGTTTACCCAAAAAAGGACACATGTAGGGCTGATGTGCCTTTAGATCAGAGAAATATTCCAACACCCCGCTGCTTCTGAGCACGCTCCGAAAATGACAGCAGCAGGCATTACAGGAGCACTGCTACGAGAGAAAGAGGAAAAATGTTACCAATTGAGAATATAGTAAGCAATGAAAGCTGTCTCAGAGGCAGCAGGTTTTTTTCTTCTTTCATGGCAATGTTTTCGCTTCATAATTAATTCCTACTGAACATTCAGCTTTGAGGGCAGTGCATGGGTTAGGGTCAGAGAATTGAGTTTTTACGTGTAGGCTGCTCTTTCCATCTTCCAGGTACAAAGCCGTGACACCATATGAGTCATATTAAGCAGCCCTGACCGCTCCATATTTTGTTTATTACCATAACAACCGTGGAACTGAGGCACAAACTTGTCTAAGAGGAATGTCCGCAGCCCAGTCTTAGGCAGCAAATTAGAAAATATCTACTCTCAGAGAGAAACTTAGTGACGTAAAACAAGGCTTCGGTGACAGTGATGCCTTAGTCACCAGAGACAGCGCACAGATAACTCTGCGAGGAAGGATGGTGGGGCGAAGGATCCTAATAAACAAGAGGTGTTGTGGAAAAGGACTGCATGTTTGAGGCTAATCACTTGGACAACTTCAGCAAACTGAACAAATATCCCCTTGTTATGAGTAAGGCCTTACACAAATTACAGGAAGGGTGTGATGCCTTGGCAACAAGAGTTATGTGGAGAAAATGTTCACAGCCCTCTCTGCATCATGACATACATGAGGAAAAATACAAAGTGTGGTTCAGCTTTTTAATCACACTAAGTAAAAAAAAAAAACAGCATGTGTCCCAGTTTCCAGCTGTTAAATAAGCCTTATTAAAGAGGTTTGTTCCCTATGATCACAGGCTCATAATCAACAAATAAGTTCTCTACTGCAAGCCAGAACTCTTGAAGAAGACACTGGAGGTAAGAATATGTCAAATATTGTTCGGCACGAGGGGGAAGAGGCCAGGAAACCCGGCAGCTTCTGACCTCTGGTCTGGCCCTCTGTGAATATTTCATGTCCAGAGCTCATTTTTGACGGCTGAACCTGTCAGTGGTGCAGACATTTGAATTGTTAAACAGGAGAAACTGACTGGGTTTCAGCAGACGTTTGTGACGGAGCGAGAGAAAGCTGGAAGTCGGCAGGAAGCTCCGAAATCAGGGAGTAAGAAGGAGAGGGGAAGAAGGCGCAGCTCGGCCGTGGCTTTATTAGTCTGAAGCTTCCAGTGGGCAACGGCGGCCGGAGGAGCAGAGCACTGCTGACAGCGCGCTACCGACAGCTCCCAGGGAGGGCAACGCAGAGTAAAGTTTCTCCTCCTGTTACCATGACACAACTGTAATCCTCGGAGACAGACCTGCAGTGAAGACGTTCCATCCCACGGCCGTCTGAGATCACTAAACACTTACACAAATGATGGGTAACTTACACGGGATTTCTCCAGAGGTGTCACGCCCCTGCACGCCGCTCTTTCTAAGTGAGAGACTGCCAGGTTAGCATGTGTGGTCTTATCTAGGGCCTGACGGAATTAGGTTACCGAGCATATGCTACAGATTTCCATGGCAACAGGAGTGGGGAAATCTGGAATCATGTCAGTCGCAGTGCCAACAGGCTATTCTTTTTTTTTTTTTTCTGTGCTGCAGAACAGCTCTGTTTTCCAAAGAAAGCCACAATGTAAGACAAAGCCTGCATGCCAAATCTAAAATCTATTCCTGAGGCTTGAGGGGGGGTGGGGGGTGGGGGGGGTGGCCACAGCCTCCTCTTCATCAGACAGGCAAGAGCATGGGAGCACATGCTGAGATATTCAGACATAAACACAGCCAGCGACCATGCTTGTTGAGCTCAAGTGGAACCATTTTAATTCAATTAAAAGGTAGCAGATCCAGTGGAATGGAGCTCCAATAAATGCCATCATCCATCATGCCGGGACAGTAGAGACACTGGGATCGGCATCGAAGAGAGCAGATTGCAAGACTTTGAGGCCTTGATACCCCCAAGGCCAGCTCACTAGCAAAATGTGCTTTTGAGGGAGTACAGTGCTGCTGTCCCCTGATCAATATGTACAAGTGCACAGTGATGTTTTTAATCAAAGCAGAGAAAAGACCGAGACACCACGAGTTATGGGGCTCACACGGCAGCATTTCTATGACTTTATCAGGGGTACATTTTCACATTTGAGGCACTAATTCAGCAGAAGCCAACACGAGCTCGACTCAATAATTGAAACAATCCCCAAGGACAAGGCTGCTCATACAGTCTCTGTGGCAGGCTCCAAACAAAACACAAAAAAACAAGGAAGAGAAAAAGCTATATGGTGCAATCTATTAGAGAAGACACTGGGTGAGCGCGGATGAAAATGAGCTGGGCTCGTAGTGTGCTGTTGTTTCTATATTTCATGCTCTGTCAAAGCCCAGCAAAGCTTGCCTAATGTTGTTAGGCTCATGCTGCAGTGTATATGTGCAGAAGACTGTGGGTGAATGCGTGCATGAGACAGAGTGGGGTTAGAAAAGAAGACGCGCACCGAGAGCTACTACGCAGTCTATTCTAAATATCTCCAGCGTTTCTTTGTCTTTTTTGTCCTTCTACGCCTTGTGGCGATACATACAAATGGGTTGTAATGTATATTTTAGCATCTGTGAGCCCAGCTGACTGAGGCAGTAGCCTGATCAGTGCTCGCTCTGTTGCTGCAGAGAAGCACAAACACAAGAGGAGATTCTGCAAAAGCAAACGAAATAAAAACAGGAATATTTTTAAACTACACAGAAAGCACGAGCTACCCAAAGGTTTCATTCATGAATCGAGCTGGGGTCGACCGAGCCCTGGTTAAACACTGGGCTTAAACAAGTCATCCACAGATCTGCAAAATTCTTAGAGGAAAGAAGGCAGTGGGAGCCAAGACAACGCTCGCTGTTAAATGTAGAGCAACAGCAAGGCAAGCATTGACAGCGGTCGGCAGGAATCAGGGAAGATGAAAGCCCAACTGGAGACTGATGCTGAATAAATAATGATATCCATTGTGGGGAAATGTGATCGGGCTCTCTGAAAATCAATAACTAACAACCAGACTGTGATGCCCCGAGTGACTCAGCAACAACTTCAATACACTTCAGTTAGTCGATATCAACTGCCTGTTCTTGTTCTGGGAGACATGACCCAAAAAGCTGAGGGGAAAACTGGAAACACTTCCCCACAAGAATCAACGAGGGTGGCTGAGAAAATCATAAACAGGAAGAGAGTCAGTCAGAGCTAATGGACGGACTGCACATTCAGAGCCTCTAACAAAGTGGGCTTCTGAATGAGTGCGCTGAGACTGAAGGAAATGACGGCATGATGGATCGTTGCTGTAAAGTATTGCTTATAGATACAGTCAATCTTTATTTACGCAGTCAACACTGAGAGGCACCGCGATGTGTTCACGCACCGAGGAGTTCAGAGCGTTTAAAAACATGAATCAAAGCTTGTCACACAGCCTGATAGGGAGAGCAGCAAACTCACATTTCAATTACCCCGGGAGGTTGTTTGTTTCGCCGGGCCCACCCGGATCAGGTCAGTCTATCTGTCCAGGCAATCCACTCACAGCCATCAAAAGTGTAGCTCACACTGGACAGCTGAGCAGAGGGGAGGGATTTGGGTTTTCAAATCCAGCTTAGCCAGATTTTGGGGGCAGCATGCCCAAACATCAAAACGCAGGCTTTGATTAGATAAGCTCTGATGAAACAGAGGATGTGATCCACGGCAGGGAAGTGACTGAATCCCCCAGTGAGTAAGCCTTCTGAAACCCTGTCACAGGGTGCGTCTCTCTACAGGAGGAACGCCGATAAAGAGAAGCCTTTTTTTGCAACCAAATGGGCCCATTACCTTAATAAAGAAGCAGGAGAAAAAACAGCCCGGGAGCCTTTCATTTCTGCCTGAGTGTGAGTGTGTTTACACTCAGGGCTTTAAGTGACAGCTGGCTGTGTAACCCAACCCGGCCGGGCCAAACCCGGGCCAAGTGCACTCGAGTGAGGGATGTGTTGGCACCTGGCGGTCTGGGCTCTTACCTGCGCTCCCGGTGAGGCAGCGGGGGCTGCTGCTGCCGCGTGATGAAGGTGGTGCCCCACACCGGACTGCTGTGGCTGTTTCTGAGCCAGCCCACAGGGGGGGAGGACGGGTAGGGGGCGCTGCGAAAGCCATGGTCTGACTCCGTCTCTGCAGCCAGCGATGAGGCTGAGCTCCCCATCACCACAGGGACGGGAAATGAGTCTCTCAGTGGCCTTCGATAAGGGGAACTGCTATCCCCTAAAAAAACTAAGTTGACCAGGGATCCACTGTTTAAGCCGCTGACGGAAGATATCCCCTCTTCGTACAAAGATAAACGCACTCAAAAGATGTGGGTAAAAGTCCTGATCAGGCTGCATATCCCATAGTGCATGAGAGAAAGTTTCAATTCAACCAGAAACGTGGAGCTCGGAGGAAGGATTCCAATGCTGCAGCTGGCCTCAGAAAAGAAAAAATGCTATTTTTCTAAAGCGAAAGGCTCTTAATCCTCTTTTTTGTGCACTTTACACTCATAACACGCTGCACCAAGTCTTCCTCAGTGCCACTCACAATTCCTTGCATGCTCCTTCTGTCACATTTTCCCGGCCAGTCATGCTTGGCTCCTCTATCTTCTGCACATGCTGGTGAGAACAGCAGAAGACTGAAAGGTTAAGTACATAATTATGTTTAGTGGGATTTAGTGCTGCGGCAGCCAAAACGTGCACCTGAAATCCATCCTTGACATCACAACAATAGATGCAGGCGAGGCCAGAGAGCGGCGGAGCAGGTCCCGTCGAAACGAAGCCTCACAAAATACATCCAGAGTTATTTAGAACATGGGCATCGGATTAAACCGACGCATCGGATTTCGAGGGAGGGGTTTCTGGCAAAACAGCAAGTGAGCAAATATTCAACTCTCATCTTTCAGATATGCAGGCCGACTAGCAGCTGTTGTGGAGGTTTACCAGGAAAAACGCCTCAGCTGCACTTCTCCCACAGGACGAGGAAGTCAAACAGGGAAAGGTCCCAGATCCCTCTCTGCATCTAACACAATGAAGGATTTCCACCGAGGAGTGGAACACTCTTACATTTAGAGGAAATGAGGAACATCTGGGAAGTTTCAGCTGGGAGAGTTTAGTAAGTGTTAGAAAAGGGAGAGTGCGGTCTGAGGCCGCGGGCGCGGGGGGGGGGGGGGGGGGGGGGTGCTCTGTGTGGTGCTGCGGTGCTCTGCCAGAGAGAAGAACGGGAGGGGATCCCAGATTAATTTCTGTCTGATGTCTGATCCCGGCCAGTCCAGTTTATCAACGCTCGCCGGGATTTATGAGAACCTGCCAGCATGTCACAGCAGGCCGGGGAAGCAGCTGATGGGGGGGGGGGGGGGGGCCCCACGAGGGGGAGTTCACCGGCGCGCGTTTGATTTGAGAGTTAAAAACAAAAACAACTGCGATAAGGAGCAGCAGAGTCTCTCGGTCGCCTTTAGCCTTGAAATATTAGCCGATCGCGGGCTCCAATCCCCGATGACCCGGTCTGATGACCGGTAAACGCACAACGATTAATAATCACTGGTAACGCACGCGCCAACGGGTTTCCCACACAGCCAATTAACGGCACTGCGATGAGCTATTTGCTCGATACGGTGATCTGCCCCAGTAGTGTCCACATAGCTGTCCGGAGCCAACCAGGAGGACTGGACAAGAAGCGAGATCCGGGTTAGAATAGCGTTTCTTCAGAAGTGACGGGCCTCAGAAGAGGAAGCACTCATTCGTGAATTGCATCTCCTGCGGGGTCCAATCCTGCCTGCGTTCATCTCCCATTCCCGGAGCCGTGCCGTGCCGTGTCAGGTTAGGGAGACGTCCTCGCTGCCGGTCCCACTGTGAGACTGCTGGCGGAGGGGAAACTGGCTCTGGCCCATAACGCGCGCGCGTCCCGGTCCTGTGCAGTCCCCATCACACGTCCCGGCTCTCCCGGTCTACCGTTTTTGACGCGGCTCCATCTTTTAATTCTCCCGCACTGATAGCCCGGGCGCAGTGGACGGGGATGCAATCTCCTCCGGCGGATTACCGGAGTGTCAGCAGTGCGCATGCGCAGTGGGCCGCCGAGCAGAGCAAAGCTGGGAGGCTGTGTTCAAGAGATTTAAATAGAGCTCATCAGAAGCCAGAGCCCTATCCGTCTCACTCACCATGTGAATGGGATCCCAGAGTAACGGCTTCCCATGGAAGACGCAGACAACTAAACGTGATCAGACCCCAGCAGTAAGAGGAAACAGACTCATTTTTGTTTCCATATGCAACTGCCTCATTTTCTGTGTTATACCGAGGAAGTCTGCATGTGCATGGCTGGGTATCAGGGGAGGCAGGGAAGGGTTAAACAGCAGACAGCTGTTAGACAACACTCATTGTTGCTCAACTGTTCCTGGTCATTACAGAGATAAGCCATTTCCTGTCTCCCTCTTCAAGTAACTTTTTCCTGGCCTCATTTCTGAGATCTTCTGCAACAAATGCAGTGTTTGATGGAGGAATAGAAAAAAAGAAAAAAAAAAAAAAAAAAAAAAAAAAGCTCAACACAAGATGATCACAACAAGTCTTTGACAGTGTTTGTTTCTGAATGTCTTTCTGGACCTGCAGGCAGTGAGTCAGTCTCACGCAGACTGTGTGACGAGTGCTGGATGAGCACAATGCAGTCATAGGCCCGAGCACAGCATCAGGACAGAAACTGGTTTGTCTGGTAAATCGTTTCCTCAACGCAGTTCCAGAGAGGAACACACCCCGAAGCATGTGCTGTAGCATGGTTCCCGATCACGGTTGCAACATAGAGGCAACTGCCTGACAGCCTACGCTCTGAACAACTGCAGGTTGTTCACTGAAACATTTACACTTTCAATAAACATATTCTATAATGGAAGCTTCATTCCTTCAGCAGCAGGTTTTTGAAAATAAGCAAACACGGAATGACGACAACAGCAGCCAAAAAAAAAAAAGGACATGAGGACAAGTCCATGAACGGCAGGCCTTTGTGAAGGGCGCACCTGTCCAAGAACCACCTGTCCCTCTGGAAGTAGGAGCAGATCCAGCAGCTGACACGGCCAGTGCCAGGGGGAGAGATTGAGTTTCACCCCTGTTCTCCTGGGAAACGCTGAGGAAAGAAGGGGATGTGAGAAGAGGAAGTGAGGATGTGAGCTGATTTCATGGTACATCGCCAGTTGTCATTTCTTCACCAGTGGACAACCACCTCAGTGGACACGCATCAACACCTCCAACACAACGAGGGGACTGCCCTCTATTTTCTCTCTCCAAGACAAATAACGTGAAAGCACCGGTCCAAGTTTTCAGTCTCAGTCTTTAAATTGATGATAGGTCCTCAGTACACAGCTCAGCTGAACAAGTATCCCATAAAGCTCAGAAGGCGGTTCACATGTCCAAGCAACTAAACTGACAACAATCGAGTCAAAGGGTGTTTATCCCCCCTAGATGCACGTTTATCGTCCTGGTTCTGCCACACGTCCCCCAGAACCCATCAGCAGACAGAAAGGATGGGGATTTAACCATGGTGTCATTGTGTACACTACAGGGGGGCAGTGGGGTTTTGAGGAACTCCTGCGACCTGACATGCTGGTTAGATATACAATAAAACAAGTAAACATATCTGGGGACAAACTGTAAGCCCGCGAGAGCTGCCACTAAAACAAACACTAGCTATACCGTGTCTGGATTGAAACTGAGCGGTCCCATTGAGACGAGGGCGCCGGGAAACCTTGTAAACAAAGACAGTCTTTTCCAGTTACGTGCTCAACATTGCAGACGCCCGCCGACAGCCGTGTACTGTGTGAAGTCCACTCACCAAACGGCTATTCTTACCTTGGGTCGGGCGGGGAGGAATTATTCCTTCTTTTCGGTCGTCTCTGTGTTAACTTTTCACTGCCATGGAAGCGATAAGTTCCTCGCCGGGTTGTACTTTGGTCACCCCAGCCTTTCCGGGTTGTATCTTCCCGCTCTCCCCTACCGCCGCATGCTTCACACGTTTGTGTCAAACACCTTAATACACTGTTTATTTCCACTCCGTCTGGTATTAGCGATAGTGATGCGACCGCATAGGTTTACCTCAAACAGCCCAGGAAGGGACGAAAATCTCTACGGAGCAAATAGAGAGTGCACCTACACTAAATGCGTACAGCAGAGGCCTCACAGTGCCTACGGACGCACGTTTGTATACGTAACACCTATTGGTGAATAGTAGAAGAAGAAACTCAATTTCCCACGGACATTTCAACAAGGATATCCGGGTATGAGTGTCGTCACACTTGCCAATCATAAACAATCGGTTTATATGTAAATATTTGACGACAGTGTAAAACAATATTTGCGTTGAAATATCTGATCTAACCTTTATTTTTTTTAATGTAGAAATTTTAACTTTTTATGCTTTTGTGAACCGTTTACGTCTCTGTTATTTTCTTCAACTGTCACTGTTGAAAAGCGGCTCTCTATTGCCATCTACTGGAACGAAACATGAACCGAAATTAGAATTTTGACCAAAGATATTTTTAAACCATTTCAGTATTTGCACAAGATACAAAGTTATTTTGCTACAATGTGTGGACAATTGTACTTATACGAATTAAAACCAATGGAGACATTTATTCACATGCTTCCTAATCATAATTGTCGTGGTCAGATTATTTTTATAATGGCCAATTTTAGATTGTTCTCTGTGCAGCTGAGTAACAATCTATAAAACCAATGTAATGTTGTTGTATAAATTCTAATAAAGTATAACAATGTAGTACTGCAATTTAGTCTGATAATACTGCAGTTTTTGTTAAAAAATATTTCGATGGAATTTTTACAGCTGATTTCCATGATCAAGTCTTTCCAGAAGGTATGGCATGGTAGAGTCAAATCAAGGAACTTTTGTTGTATTTCAGAAGATGGATCAACCTAATTAGTCCTTTGTTAAAAACTCTTGAAAAAAAAAGAAAAACACATTTTTTTGCAAGAAAGTCATTTTCAGACAGTGCTAATCTTTTGTGTTTTTTAGGCCTGCAAATTCTCTCAAAATTTCTCACCCCTTTTCGATTATTTCAAGGACAGACCTCACTTTTGAAGAGTTTAATCCTCCTGACTCAAACACAATGGACGGCCTGTCAGTGAGATTTTTCTCCTAGATGCAAATAACCTGGTTTCAGTCAACAAGAGCAAACCCCTAAATCCGTCAAAACCATTGTGACAGACGACT